TATTGTCCAATTTTCTTATACTTCAACTAAAAATACAATAGTTATTAATAATAAAATTAGTTATATTTAGGCTTTTAATTTTTCTGTATGTATATTAATTATTAATTTTTTTTTTTAACGTTACAGGCCATTTAGGCCCTTTTATTAATTATTAATTACCATAAAATATATAATTTAAGATTTTGTATATGCCATATATTACACATTATTATACTTAATTTAATAAAACAGAGACCAATATTCAAAAGCTTCTTTCACCACATTTTTTACCATTGATGACGCTCATTCAGCACTTGTCTACTAATATAACATACATAGTAGTTATTAATATTTACTAAATTCAATATTGTATTAGTCACATTTTTTATGATTTTCAAGCTTAAAATTAAAATAATTAATTATTCTTTAATTTTACCATGTAAAAATAAAATTATAGTTGCACTTCTTAAATCAATTGATTGGACAATGATAAATTGTATGAGCTATACCAAAAAATGTACATTTACTATTATTATTAAAATCTTAGTTATAGTTATAAAATGGTTGATTAAAATGTAATCTCAAACTTTTAATAAACTTTAATCTTTATTTTATTCTATATTTAAAATTTTCAAAATGTTAGTTAAATGAAAATAGATTTTTTCATAAGTTATATAACACATATTTTCAAATTTCTAATACATTTAAACTGATTAAAAATAACATAAATTTGGCTAGATATTACAACTTTTCTGAATTTAATTATAATTAAAAATGTATTACATAGAAGTTTATTTAACAAGAAACAATGATTTAGATGTGTAACTAAAGACAAATGTTTTACACTTTATTAACAATTTTAAATTTTGTACTTATATAATTTTTAGTAAGTACAAAATGTATAAATCAAAAATAAAAAAATTAAATATACATTACAATTGATTAAGAAAAGATTTTAAAAATAAAATATAAATAACACTGTTTTACTACATATACATGATAATTAGCAAAAGTATAATTGTAAATATTCTTAGTTAAAATTACTTAAACAACTCCTAACTTCATTGCAATTCAAATTTGATCGATGATCTGGATCTGATTAATTCACATCTCCTTCTCCACTTCTAATTATGATTTTTCCTCTCACCTATTGTCTCGCAATCCTAAATTTTGATTAAGACTCCTCATACTGTTTGACAAACTTTAAAACCGGTTGTCAACCTCATTAGTTGCTCTTACAACTGCCTGAGGAACCGTGAAAGTATTCTGATCCTTTTTCACAGAAAAATCTGGTTAATTTGCATAATATCCAATTAATACTCTTCATTTAACAAATATCTGAAACAAAAATATTAAATAATTAATTTTATTAGAACCAGAAAATCAACTAATTAAAAATGTATTAAATAAAAATTAATTACATCTAGTAATTAATAATTGTTATAAGGATGACTACCAATAAAATATAAAAGTGGGACTATTAATTAGATTTTTTGTTTATTTAAAATTGGAAAACAATTTTAAACCATAAAAACATGACTCAATAATATGTTAACTTTTAACAATAATTTCTGTTTGTTATATTACCAATAATATTCTGCCAATTTTGATATTTATCTTTAAATATTTCTAAGTACGAGATATTTTCTGGGTCAAATTTTGTTGTAGGTAAATCAAACTCCAGTTCAGCTTTCTCCGCTAATTTTCGGTGGTAACATCACTTTGTTCAAGTAGAAATTTATTAATATCAACTAAAAATACAAAGCAAGTCTAGTGGAAATTATATATGTATTTTTACATTTGACTATTATCATAGGAGCACCAATGATTTATGTTTTCTTTTACTGGATTTTGATTAATCATTAATCATAAGGGATTTGTTACTTAATACTAAATATTGTAAATACAAACTTCAAAAAATTCAAGTTTTATTTTTAATTTTGTATTAATTTTTTATATTTATGCAAAGATTTCAAAATTATTCTATATACATAAGAATTAAACTTACTTTTACTAGTTAAAATATACCAATATCATTGATAGAACATCATTCTATCATAGCCCATAGTTACGTGCGCCAACAGTGCAATGAGAGTAGACTACAATTGTTACGTGGTACCCAATAAAAACAGATACCTATCGTAATGATGTTGTTGGATCAGGGTAAATTGATTCAATAATTAATTTAAACACTTGTAAACACTTTAATATAGAACTGTGATAGGTATGAAATAATGAACTCTCCACTTTAAATAAATTACTTTATGGTGAAATAATTCTAAGTCCAAATAATGTATGCCCACAACACTATTTTAAGTTAGTGTTTCAAGTGTTTGTTTGAAAATAATAGGAGTAAAACAAAATGCTGTACCATGAACATTAAATTATTGGCTATTGCCATTGAAAACGTAATATCTAGAAAATAAATAGTATTAAACAACACAAATATATTAAAAACAAAATAAAACTCAGAGATTTTGACTGTATCAATAATTGTTATCTATTGTATGAAATTATCATGGTGGTTTATGGTTATTACATGGTATCAAAAAACATGGTATAGTTATGATATTATGATATAGTATGAGATAATATCTAATTAATTTTTACAATTATCATTTATCAGTAATTTTGTGTTTATTATTAACGAGTTATTTTTTTCCTATTAACTGCAAACCACAGATATAGATATTAATAGTAACTATATACGAGTACATGCTATAAATTTCTCGTTGCAAGCAGTTAAGAACAATAAGATGTTTTACAATATTAAAATATATTTTAAATTCAAAATGTATATAAATTAATTAACTTGATGTCAAATATTGGTTCTAAAATATTATTTATAAATTATTAAAATTAATAAGTAAATCATAACGGACAATAATCAATAATTAAAGTTATGTAACTTTTAATGAACGACATATATTAATAAATGTTGACAAAATCTAACTATTATAGGGGCATAAAAAAAAATAGGACCTTTGTAACAATATTTCATATACTTTAATGAAATGTATTTTAATTTCAATCTAAATATTTAAAGTTTTCGAAAGTTATAATAAATAATAATTCATATTATTAAACTCGGCAAAGAACAATATATTTTCAAATAAAATATTTAAAATTCAAATAAAATTACTATTGAAATATGTGCTTTCGGTGAGCCAAGAAATATACTTTATTTTTTTTACTTAAGTATTTTAAGTGAGGCGGCACCTCACTTGCCTCACCCCCAAAACTTCGCCATTGCTAGGTGAAATGGATTCCTGTTGTAATTTAGTACTAGATGAATTGGGTCTCAGATGAAATTTAATTATATTATTATTAAATTATTCATCAATAATTTATAAAAAAAAAAAAAAATTAATTATAAAAGTGAATTATATATTTCAAACAGGTAAAAATTTAAACGAAATTGTTTTGACATATTCAAATCTCGTAAATAATTTAATATTATATTCAATCATTTTTTACGACAATTTGACGGGATTTTCTTAGTCCATCACTCCGTATTTAAATGTACGTTTTAGACTGAATATTTTTTAAAACATCAATTAAGTTTGTAAATATTTGAATGGCTAGTGATAAATAGATTATTTGTGAAATTCCTCACAACTGTTGGTTGTTCGATTTGTCGTTGGTGCAAATTCAGCCCAGAAATTTGAAATTGTATTTCTTAAAACGATTAGAAGAAACGCAATTCACCAACTTGAAAAAAATATCCAGGCCGTAATTCACCTAGCTGTGTATTAATATTTTATTTAAAGGACGCAATGGCCCCCCGAAATGTTGTAAATAGAGCCCTACAAAGCCAATATTTTTACTGATGTTGTACAATTTAAATGTAATTTATTCTAAAATATTTGGTAAAAAATAAAACTAAATTTAAATAATTTTCGTGAAAAAACTTATCATGATAACAGCTACAATTGACTAAATATCATAAATAATATAAGATTCAAGGGAAAAATATTCATTGGGACTAATATACCACAATAAACAATTGAAGTTATTTTTATGCGATTATTTATACTTTACAATTTATTAAATATAATTACACGTTTTGTTAAGATAGGGCTCAAGAGTACAGCAAGCACCACTCGAATATAGATCCCCTCGCACGCCTACGACAATATTGCTAGATAATTTATTTATACTAACACAAGTTCAGCTGTTCCTTATAACGTAGAAGGACGATTTTCATCATTGAAATATCGAATAAGTATACAATTTACAGAAATATCACATACGATCTTACCGACAAGCACCGGTGGAGACTTTTGTCCCGGTGGAAATTAGCTGATACGCAGACGATCTCGCAATCTCATCTCAATCCTGCGTAGCGAAATATTTTGCGCTGCCTTGAGGTTTTTACACACAATTCCGTATAGTATAAAAGTACCTATGTACATTTATATCGGTATCGATTAATTTTAGATTGAACAATAAACATTTCGAGTTCCGTCACACGCGCCACGTGCGAGTTGTTGTTGTTGTTGTTGTTATCGTCAAACCTTATTGTTTTGTAATCCACAATCTGTGACACGAAAAAACAATAGAACAGTAACACGTGTGACGGTAGCGACGTAACACGTGCATCACGATTGCCAGGAAACTTTCCGATGAAGACGCAAATAGTTCGCGTCGGAGTATATAGAACGACGTTATTCCGGCACGCATCAGCGATCGGCTCTAATCGAACGTGATGCCGAAACGAAACGACTCCGGGAACAACGGGCACGCGGCCGCGATTGCCTTACGGCGCAATGTTTCAGACCATAAACCTTTAAGGTTTATGGGCGCACGGTTCGCGACCCGGTTCCCGCGGACGCGTGCAGCGCACCGATACCGCGTTTACGTGCGCGGTCCACAGCGATGACGTCGCAGCTGTTCGCCGCCACCGGTCGGCTGGCAACCTTGTTCCACCCCCTTCGCCACCGTCGCTACGTGTTGACCGCCACGGGAGAGAGGTACCCCTTCCACTCCGCGGTATCGTGTCACGCACGTTTTACGTAAACACACGCGCGTCCCGCACTTGCACTCGAACGCAAAACAACGTATTATCATCATCATCATTATTATTATTATTATTATTACACGCAAATAGATACGCATTGCACCGTCCGAGTATACACGTTTATATTGTGTTACACGCTCGGCCCACTCGTGTGTTACATTGTTAGCGTGCGCGTGCGTGCGTTGCACACGCGGACCACGAAATTTTCCATCTCGCTCTGTTTTCCCATCACCGAGAAATCTGTCTCTCTCTCACTATCGTTCCGCTCTCACCTCTCGATGCCGTTTTCACGTCGTCGGGGCTACGACGACACTATCAATCCGTCCGGATTCGAGACACGCGCGCGCGACCACGACTACGCTGCAGCTAAGGCCGCCGCCACCAGCAGCACATCGCCGCGACAGCAGGTTCTTCTACGCCGCCGTCTAGTCCGTGATAATACACTATCGTGTGCACACTCGATTTTATAAAATCCTGTTAACCGCATTTTACTTATAAATATATAAAGGAGTCTCCGTTATCGCACTCGTTCCGTATTGTTGTGTCGATCGGGTTTTTTTTTTTTTTTTATTATTCTTTTTGTTCTCCAAATCTTCCCCGTTCGTTTTTCTTCCGCTTACCGCTCTTCCAAAGACGCTTGTGTTCGTGTATGTATGTGCGTGCGTGTGTGTGTGTGTGTGTGTGTGTGAGTGTACGCACCGCGCTGCTGTCGGTGAGTGCGAGGCGAGTGCGCGTGTGCAGTGTATAAAACGGTGCTCGCGAATCGGTTTTATCGTACGAAATAAATTAAAAATAAAACTCGCGTAGACATAAATTTCGTAGACGGCGCGTCATTACTATCAGCTGAAGGGGGAAAAAAAAATAAATACCAACACACACGCACACATACCACACATATGTGCTCACGCGTACCGTACGTTTACGACGGCAGCAATTTATAAATACAAAATATTATACGTCGTTTTCCCGACACGGTACCCCGTGAACGGTTATAGTGGATTTTTACAATCATTGCAACCGTAATAGTTTTAACTTAATAACGACGTGTCTCGACAATAATGCGCAGTGTATTAATCGTCGGTTGATTCGTTACACTCGTGTTTTTGTGAACCGTTTTTTTTTGTTCTACATAATACATATATTTTACGTAACGCATTACTACACCTGACGTTCGTACGTATACTCGATTTAACGCGGTGGTCGTCCACCAGACGACGACCTCAGTGTTCGTAGTTTGTACGCAAACACATTGATGGCTAACAATCAGAATCTGTCGACAAGCGCCCACAGAGCACTAGCTCACGAGTACAAAAGTCTGCAAGAAGAACCCGTCGAGGGTTTCCGGGTAAAACTCATCGAGGACAATCTCAGAGAATGGGAAGTGGCTATATTTGGACCACCAGAAACCCTTTATCAAGGAGGATACTTCAAGGTAATTGTATGAACTTGCACAAGGCTCGTATCCTATGAACCCAGCTGTCTTCGGCAGACACAATCCTGTGACTACCGGCAATATCGGTCCAAGGGTCTTCATCTATTTGTTCTATTTTTTGTAGGTCACAATCATTTATTTTTCCTATACAAATTTGTTGATGCCTAACATTGCTAACCTTAACACCCGTATTCCATTTACTTAATTCACATTTTTATCGTATACACTTTTGATAATATGCCAATTATTACGTTCTTTGTAACAAATGATGAATGTGCATAAATTAAATATATATATATATATATTGATTTTTCAAATAGGTATTTGTTTTTTTGCTAAATTAACAGTATTTAACAATTTTATTAAGCTAAACTTAGGTTACAACTAACACTGACCTACATATTTCACCAACTAAAAAAAAATAATTTCTTAGACACTTGTATTCCTTCTGTTATCTTTCTTACTTTAAATTAATACTCAAGGTACCTAGTTACTTAAAAAAATATTGAAATTAAAATTTACATTATTTATAATTTAATATTTATCTTTTACCTATCTTATTTTAAATGTTAAAATTTTATTTAGATAATATACTATAGATAATAATTATGTTTAGATTCAAAATTTATTGTAAGTCCTAATAAATTAGGACATGTTATATGTGTGCACTAAAAAAACATATCTTGCGCTAAATACTTAAAAATTATAGTATCAAAAAAACATGTTTACAGTAATATTTCACTTAAAATATTCTACCTAATGGAAAATACAATCCAGATTTACACTATGGACTTATAAAACGATTTTGAAACAAAATAGAGCTACAACTTTTGGCCTCTTAGCCATTGATATGTCCTTATTTACTTTATCTTTATTAAAGGGATATAATTGCTTATTAAGGGGATGAACATTTTTATCTGTTGGATATTTTTATGTCTACTTAATTACAGAAAAATAATTTTTTTAGATGATATAATTATTTGAGTTTTATGGTTTTTTATTATATTTTGCATTGTGTTTAAGTATATATTGTTCGATATATTATTATAAATAATTACACATAAATCTGTATGAAAAAATTTTTAATTTGAACAACCTTACATTTTACAAATTTTTCTTTAAAATTCATACATACATAAAAAGAAAGGGTCATTCATGTGGTATTTACTGAATAGGATTATTAACATATTTTCCTAAAAACTATTCTTGCATCATTTTTTATAAGTACAAATGTTTTAATGGTATAAATAATAATTATGAACAAAGTACATTTATTTTTTCTATATTCTTGTTTTGAAGAATATAAAGATAAGTAAATTATTTTTAAAAATACTTTACTGTCATAAGTATTACTCCTATATATGTTATGTGTGTATAATCATAAGTGTATAAACTGAATCTCATAATCCCAAAAAATCAAAAACAAGCTAAATCTTTATATTGTTTTTGAAAAATATTTTTCATAAAATATGTCCATTAATCTTAAATTGTATTTATATCAGTTATATTTTTCAGTTAATAGTCTTTTAGCTGCTATATTATATATTAAGTTAAATATTGATAGCATCAAATAACAATTCTGTGTGTATTTATATAATAATAAAAGTGATAAAATTATATAAACTTGCTTTTATAAATTGTTCTTTTGAATTATTTTTCACAATATTTCATACAAATATTTGTGCTATAAAATTGTTATGTTTATATAGATAAAAACTTCATGCCTAGAATATACAAAACAATATTTCTATCATTTAAATTTTTCTCATTTTATTAGGTATTGTTGTATTTGATCTCCATTGACATTCAAGTATTTTAAATTTAAACTTCCTACTTTTGAATTTTATCTAGTGAAATATTTTAGATGGTCATTTTATATTATTAAATAACGTAAAAATTTATTTATTATTTTTGTAGGCATACATGAAGTTTCCAGCAGATTATCCATATTCTCCACCTACAATTAGATTTCTGACTAAAGTATGGCATCCTAATGTATACGAGGTATGTATATTATTCAAATCTAAGTACAAGAGTATATCATACATTATACTAAATTTTTATGTTATAGATTTAAAAATATTTAAAGTAAAAAAATTATTTATAGTTTTTAGTGCTGGATATAGTTTTTTTTTTTAAAATATGATATATGTGAGTGTGTGTATATATATATAAACTTGGCACTCATAGCCTTATTCAAATAATTTAAGATTTAAGAAAAAATAAAAGAGTAGTATTACGGAATATAATATTCAGATTATAGAAAATGTTCTCGGTATTAATTTTTTTTTTTTGAAAGGTCATTTTGATTTAAAGTAACTAGTACAAAACTGTATTGATTATACAAAATGTTAATTTGTAACTTACACTTATGACGTTTTAGGTGTATACAGAAATTTGTTATTGTCTTTGTTTTTGCATATTAAACATTAAGAATATTTAAATGTATTATACTTACTTAAATTAAATTATTGTGTATTTAATTAATATTACAAATAAATATTTCTTGGATATTTAATATGTTTCAATTCGATTGCGTAAACCTTTTTAATTTTTTTTACTTTTAATAATATAAGTATTAAAACCTAAATTCTAATTTTTAATATTTAAAAATGTTGGTATTAGGGGGATTATACAAAATGTTATGCTTAGTCATATTTATAAATATTTGCGTTTCTTTTGGGTCTACAAACATTTTAAAGAAAAAATTCAATATGTTTGATGGGATATTCATTTTCATGTTTACCTTACTGGAAATAATTTATATGTAGGTACATTAAAGGTATCATTTAAACTATTTGATTATACTTCATAATAATAACATAATTTATTGGAATTATAATAAAATTATTTTTTAAATTAAAATAATTGATAATTGTTAAATCCTTTTTTTTATGTAATAATGTTATTTTATTGCTCTACATGTCAGGGTCAAATGTGAGGAAAGTCACATAAATCTAAGAGGTCACTGCCAAGTTCTTTCCTTTTAAAGAACAAATCAGTTCTATTAAGCCTATTACTCCTTAAGAAAATACCTGTTTAGTTGTAACATCAAGGTGATCATATTAAAATGATAAGTAGGATTTTGTTTGTGGCCCCGAAAGAGTTCAATATTTATTCGTTTGTAAAGAAGGTCATTTTTTTGCTAAGCAATACCCATTTAAATTGTTTAAAATTCTATAGAACTTTATTATTATTACATAAATAGAAGGTTATGATTAAATAAAATTAATAATAATGTATGATTTTATATTGATATATCAGTTAGCACATCTTCATATTAGGTTTATTTAATTTTTAACTTCATAAATACTGTCTTCACCAATAATTAATCGCATTATTTTATTATAATTTTAAAATTAAATTGAATATATAATAATGTTATTGATAAAAGTATTACTAAATAAATAAATAAAAATAACTAAAATATTGGCTATTTGAGTCTTTATTTATTCATTTTACAATTATCTATTTGTTCAAAATAATCTTCTGTTTAAAAAAATTAATATACCTATACGAAATAATTTAATTACCAAATTGTTAGATAAGCATAAATAATAATTATTTTTTTAGGTCAAGGTTTGGTTTATTGTTTTATATATATTTTTTTTTTTTTAGAATGGTGATTTATGTATTTCAATTCTTCATCCACCAATAGATGATCCACAATCTGGAGAGTTACCATGTGAAAGGTGGAATCCTACCCAAAGTGTCAGGTAACTAATGAAAATATATTATAGTGTACAATTTTTAGATATTGTTCACTTACACTTTAAAGACCTTTGCACACTCTATATTTTTATTGTTAGAACTCTAAGAATAGCTATCAGTGATAACTAGATAACCAGAAGCGATGTGTTAACATGAGTCGCTGTCCTAGTGAAATTTTGATAGTGATAGTTGATAGTTTGATACTACCTTATTAATGTACCTACTATCTACTGTCCTAGTAAATATTTATTTGTACATTCCTGGTTCATTAAATTTAAATGTTGAATTAATTTTCTTATAAAATTTACTTTTTAGCCTTTTATAAAAAAATTGTTTATACACTGCTTGTTTATTTTTATTTTGTTCTTGATTAAATGATAATAAAGAAAAAATTGCATCTGCCGTTCTGATTTGAACCAGAGTTTGAACAGACATATTAATTCACCTATTACTATTACCTATGAATTCATGGACTATTTTAATTAAATATTTATAAAGAAAATTATATAGTTGTTCAGTAGTCATTATCACTTATTGTCTAGTATAACTCTAGAGAGATAATCAAAAAACTGGATGTTGGAAACAAATTACAGAGTTAAGAACAGAGTATATACAAGAGTTCTCTGGAAAAATATTTGTCAGAGAGAGAAATGAAAGAAAAGTAACATATATTTGCTTATATGTAAAGTGCATGATAGAGCTCTATCATCAGAATTCTGGCAAAAAAATTTCAAATGTGTACTAAAGTTTTAAATGTAAAAAAGTTTTACAATTTAAGTATTCAATTTTATGAATTTTATCTATTTTAAATAAAATATATTATAAAATGACTTATTTATATCATATGATTTTCATGTATTAATAGGACAGTATTACTCTCTGTGATTTCTCTTCTGAATGAACCAAATACATTCAGTCCTGCTAATGTAGATGCTTCCATCATGTACAGACGATGGAAAGATTCAAAAGGCAAAGATAAAGAATATGAAAATATTATCAAGTATGTCATTGTTATTGCTACTTTTTAATATATAAATAAATGATTGAGATTTTACTAAGTCGTTCATATTATTTCAGAAAACAAGTGGTTAGTGGTCGATTAGAGGCTGAAAGAGATGGTGTCGTGGTTCCACTAACATTAGAAGATTATTGTAAAGTGAGTTCCACTGCTCGTTCTTCGACTTCAGCTGCTGCAATGGACAGTGATTTTTATGTGGAAGACTATGATTTAGATGTAGAATCTGATGCAAATTCTGAAGATGAGTATCAGGATGATGCTACTGATAGTGGCAATGGTGAATCATGAAACCAAATGACTGTTAGGCATTTACAACAAATTAAACAATATTTAAAAACCTGACTTAATAAATATGAATGAACATTTGTCTGCATTAGACAAAGTAACTTAAACTGATGGGTTTAATGCTCTGTGGTGAGTAATGGTCTTTGCATGTGATCTAAAAAATTGAAACAGTAATTGTTGACATTGTTCTTATATCTTGCAGTCTCTTATACATAGTAGACTTCATATATATATATATTTTTTTTTCTTTCTTTCAATTTTGATGCGTTAACTGTGTACATTTGATATAATAAACAACTATTAAAAATATATATTAATAACATCATACTTTCTGTTGACTTAGTTTTTAGCTTTTTCTTGTTTAACCCCTTGTCTTTAAACTTATCATTTAGGCTGCTACTGTTAGTTAATTCAATGTTTTATTTTATTTTCTCCTTGTGTCTGAATGTTGACAGTAAATGCATCCAGATGTTTATTCATTATTAATTAATGTGGTATTGATTTAATTGTATTAATGGTAAATTTAACTTTTATGTTAATTGTTTTACATACTTTCTAATTACTGGTAATAGATTAAAATCAAGAAAGTTTTTAAAGTGAATATGACTTTATTTAAATTAATTTTTCTCACTTTATTATTTTGATTGTGTAATAGATTTTTAATTGTCTAATTCTATTTTGTTACTATTAAAATTGGCTTTAGAAAAAATTGAGAAATTCTAAAACAAAATTATTTAATATGAAACTTATGAGTATCTCAATGTATTTATAATTTGTGCTTAAATTGTTCACGATTGATCTATATGACTTGATACTTGTTATTTATAGGGTAATATAATTTTATTTAATTATACAGATAAGAAGATTACACGTTTTTTCTTATTACAATTGAACAAATAATTTCATATAATGTGACAAGTACAATTATTTTTTAAAATATCTGAAACTGTATTTTGGTGAAAATACTTAAAATTTGGTTAAAAAGTAATATATTATAATAAGCTACACAAGTTAACAATTTTGTATTAAGAAATGTTAACATTGTTTTGTAGGTATATTAGAATTTACAATGGTGTTTTCATTGTATCATTAGCCAATACTAACACTTAATACAGCTGCGGCACAGATTATATAATTTCCCAATTGTTATTTTTAAATTCGTGAACATAATTTATGACTGGTGTTTTGAATACTTGCTATCGTCGTAAATATAAACAAGAATGATACATTTTACCCCATACATTTTATACAATCATTGAAAATGGTCATGTTTGTGCAATCGAGGATCATTTGTGTTGCGCATGCGTTTGAAAACAATATAAAGTAATTATTGACGTAACATCCGAGATCCGATGTCCTGTTGGGGTTGATGGTTTTCAGTGCTTGTCAATCGAAATTGTTGTAGTTGTTGAAAAAAATTGATATTTTATACGTGTTTGTAATTTGAATTTAACGTTCCGGAAAACATTGATATTATTGTGATTTGTGATGTTATTGTCACTAGTTAATTTGCCGCTTTTTTAATCACTAGTTATGCGTGTAGACTTGACGGTCAACAGCGAGTGTTAAAAGCAAGGACTGTCGAGGCCCTTGAAAAAAATACAATAAAATTTAATATAATGTTATTATATAAATAAATTTAAACGTTTAGTTTTAATTAATTTTTAACTAATTTTTTGCTGTTAAAATTCTATACGGATTAATAATTATTTAATATATCATATTTGTATATCGGTAGAATAATTATCCTAATTTTTGTACGTAAAGTGAACGCCAAAGTTTGAAATTTATAAAAAAACTGTTAATGAATACGTGATGTAATCACGTTTAATGTCTATATATAATATGCTGTGTGAATGTATAATAATATTATATGTTTATCTATAGTAAAATGTATCTTTTATATTAATCTCGTTTTTGTTATTGCACGCGTCCAATTGGCGTGTATATGTGTTAAAATGTCCCGCACGCTTAACACGTTGACAAGCTATCATGAACGGTGCATACAGGGCCGTTCAGAGGGGAGGGGGCAACGGGACCATTTTGCCCCAGGCTCCATTGTTGGGATATTTTTTAGGGGACCCCCATTAAATCTTAATGTATAATAATTAATAACAAGGCCTCGATTACACTGAGAAATTTAACACGGTGTGTGTCGGCGATTAAAGTCGCGCGCATGGGAGCGTGTAGCGACTTGTTCGATTACATTGAGCGATTAAATTATAAGTAATATGAATAATATTCAATTCTATTATGTGAGTACATAAATTTAAATGAGCTTGATTGGTTTAAGTTTGAAAAAGTACGTTTTCAAGATTTTTGTTATTCTCAGTGAATATTTTATTTATCATATCTAATTGTTATGGTCCAAGGGCCCCCAAATAAATTTGCCACTGGCTCCAAAAAACCTTGGGACGGCACTGGGTGCAATCTATTTTTGTACCAAATTTGATTTAATATGTAAGTTGCATCCCGATCAAAAAGGTAGGTAACAGGCCATAACCTACTTGCGTGCCAGTATAATTTTTTTAATAACCTAGTTGCATCCCAATAATCGATAGTAGAAACATCGATTATTTGATCGGGAAAATATCTATTGTTTACTATTTGTCATTTCTCATAAATACATGGATATTGGATGTATAAAAAAATATATATCGGTATAAAATTCAAAATATTAAAAAAATACATATATTGGTATGAAATAAATTATGAGTAGAAAATGGCTAGGTTAGATGTAAAAAAAATCGTCTAATCGGTCTACTTGGTGCCTGGAGTCTGTAAAATCTAACAAGTTGTGATATACGAGTGTAATATACAGATAAAGCTGGTACAATTATTGCTAACATAATGTTAATACAATTCATTAAATGTATTGGACCAATACAGTAAATTTGACTAGTTTTCGATAAATACCACAGATAAAAGCATATTGATAGCCGACTTGCGTCCCGATATCGGAACGCAAGTTACCGGTCAAATTTATCACCTGCTCATTATACCTTATTTTGGGACGCAAGTAGTATGCAGCCATCATGAGAGTACTAGGGTACTCTCATCAGTGACGCCGAACCTTATGCTTAGGTCAGGCCGCGGACTGATCACATTTTTAAAATGAGGCCGGGGATAATGGGGACTAATCTATGGTTTACACACTGCAATATTCTGACCTCGCGAGGAATGCCGGATGGACTCTTGTCGGATCGGTGTACGTGTATGAACGTAACGGAAACGTTCAAATGTAAATTATCTAAATTAAAACACATAATAAAATATTTTGCGGAACGGTACGGTACGTGTTTGACTAGTATAAATCATGCTTAATACTTGTAATTTGAGAACACAAATTATTTTTCTACTGAAATAAAAATATAAGCTTGAGGCCGTTATATTTTTATTTGACCCGAGTAAAATTTTAAAAGTTCAGTGCCATTGACCCTTACTATATTTACTTTTGCATAACATGCATATTTTTCAATTTTTCTCCGTATACCAAACCAATTTTTTGCTAACGGCAAATGAACAAACAAATGTCTTATATAAAAAATTATAAAATTTACATAATTTTTTCAAATATATAAAACATTTGATGAGTTCTCTCACGGTACACAAGTGATACAATTTTGTGTTGAAATTTAGGCTTGGTAGCCATAGGCGCAAAATTTCAAGTCGGGAGCAACGAATATTTTTACCGGCCCATTTTTTTTTTTTTCATACAAACGGCCTATAGGTACGTGACTGTAGTATACTGCAGAAGCCTGTAGTGACTGTATTTTCTAACCTAACCTATTTAAATTCAGTAAATATTAGTTTGATAATTGAATACATTTTTCGGTTAGCCAACTTATTTTTTATTGAGCATTATATGGTAGCCAGGCTTGGATTGTTCGGCTCTTACAAGTATATTTAAACCATCCAAGGGCAGCAAGAGCACACCCTGCTGCGGCAGCAGAGCTGCCCCTGTGCGCACGTGTTGGTAGCCAACGTGAAATATTTAAATTCACTAATATTACAAGACCTATGGTATTTATAGCATAATATAACTACGTCCTTCCTATTCCGATCATTGCTTGTTATTGTATTGTACACAATCGATGTCAGGAAGCGATATCGACACGATCCCGATAATATAAGAAGCTACGGGGTTTGAGTATCGAACCTCTAAATTAAAGATTAACATTTCACAAAGATAAAATAGGTGATTGGATTTGTTTAGTCTCCGAATGGAAGGGACATTGCCGTTTTCCGCCAAAGACAATATTCAATTTTTCCCCATATTAAATAAATATTCATTTGTTTCTGATATTTTTCAAATCCCTTTGCCACGGTTGTCAAAACCGGTTATTGGACCTAGGACTTCGAATACGGGTGAAAGCTTCTGCGACAACGCCATCGAAAATGATATATATTATTATTATTATTATTATTATCATAACACTATTTAAAGTACATATTTAATGTTGGAAAATATTAATGTAATCACGAGTAACCGTAGGCATATTATGCTAATTTACAAATAATGATTAAATGATTTAAAATTAATATAAAATAATAATCAACTTGTTAAATCAGAAGGGAATCACGTACCAGACAATTGTGCTGTAGGTACACAAATTATTAATTTCATTTCTAAGTGTAAAACAGTAAAATAAAATACCTTTATGTGGCCGAAAAAATTATCTTACAAACATTTTAACCTGATTTGTGTAAATAGTATTTTTTCCGTTTAAGATTTAGAGTTTATATATTATGATCATTATCTATGTTAAAGTAACATTTTCCATACATAATTATAGCAGTGGATATCTTAAGAAATTTTCTCTGGACGACCAAAAAAGATGTCTGCGCAGATAAAATCGATCAAATCAACGTCAACAAACTATGAAAAACCTATAAGAAAAAAAACGCCAGTGTTAGAAAGTTTTTCAAAGCTTAGAAACTCTAATAACATCCTACCATCCTAACTCGTAATGGTATAAATATATATATAATACAATATCCAAGCACGCCCGGAGGATAAAATCCCACCCGGGGCAAGATTAAAATTCTAAGGGCCAAATCAACGTGTATCTAAAAATATATGAGAACAAAATCAAATACCATAGAAATCGGTACTCAGGAGAATTTAAAATTTTTAAGCGATATGCAGTCATTTGTAAATATTGTAAACTAATAAATATGTTCAAGATATATATTTTAGATTATCTAAAAATTGAATACATTTTACTAAATTTCATAAATGTATCTCAATAAAATTATGTTATAATTAATATGCGTGGTATTACATTGACAATAGTTTTGAAACAAAAATCCCAGTAGGGGCAATGGCCTCTTTGGCCCCCCTGCGAGCGCGTATGTTAATATCGTATGTTTTTTTTATTCATTTTCCATTGTAGATATCCTGATAATCAATATAATTAATGTTTACTTCAAATCGTCAACTAAAATGATATAAAAATAACAAAATCAAGCTTAACAAATTAATAATAAATAAATAATTAAATAATAAAAGATATCTTCTAGGCGACAAAAAATATTTACCAGGCGACAATTATGTTGCCCAGTACATTAGTTAAAATATGCACTGAATTATAGTCTCCAGATCAGTAGTATCATCACTATAATACTACATTAAAATCACTTCCAATTATGTATTAACATAAGTAATACAATACAAATATATGATAATAATGAGTAAATTAATGAAATTATGAATTGATGAAAAATTAAACTAATCAAACTCTATCACAGTGATGTACAATGATGTGGGTATTATCAGACAAACTGTTTACTAAGTTATTAAAAAATTAAATATTAAATAATTCAAATAAGTATTGCTTATCGTTGGGGTTTATCGTTCTTTGACATTGATTTACTGTCGAAATTTAAATAGAAATAGAAATTGTAATGAATTAATATCGATTTCGAAAAATTATATTGTTGTGCATCACTACTTATTTATATCTACATAAATTATGTTCAAAAAAATATAATATAAAATATCTATTTTTAATGTTTTATGAATTATTTTTTTAAATGCTTAAATTAGATATGTACCATTTGGTGTTAGTTGTCCATATTAAACTACATAATAATTATGCTGATTTTGTTATTTATTAGCAACAATTATTTCTAATAAAACCAATGAAATGAAGTTGTGCGGTACTCTTAGCAATGACATTGGAGAACTAAAACTATTTCCAATTGCGAAATATCTCGGAGTTAGGTTGCAACTTTATTTAATATTTAATAGTAGAATACGGTATTATGTTTTTTAATTAAAAAGATTCAACAATAATAATCCAATAATTCTTGAAATTAAAGGGTCTTAATTCTTAAACCATTTCTACATGTTTTTATGTATTCTTCTTTCCGGTCTAAAAAGTCTTGAAGATATTTTTTAAGCATTTATAAATATAAATAACACCTCTATCGCAGCCTTCCCTAATAACCGCTTAATTAGTTGTTTTTTTATAGGAACCCACGACGACATGCTTGGTGATAGCAAATAGCAAACTAATGAGTAGTTGTCACAATGTGATCGGATCACAACAGCTGGTAAACAGCCTAGTGTGACCTACGCTTAAAGCGATTGATCAATTATCGACAATTAATCAATCGTCTATGATCAATTGCGTAAGTATTGTCACACATTTGTGCATACAATTTTTTATTTGATTAAAAAGAAATTAGAATATAATCTTTGACAAAAAATGTATATTTCGATGAAAATCGATGGTTATCTAGACGGAAAAATTAAACCTATACGGTAAGGTGGGACCTACCAGAAAATAAGACTATAGTATGATTTATGGATGAATGTGGTGAGATTTATTATGCCAGGAGAAGAGTGCGGATATCATTTATTATCATTTATTATATGGGGTATTATTTTTGATATACCATAGCGAAATACAGTTTCCTCTTCTGCTGGCAATGGTGTGTCATAGTATTTTCTTATAATAGTTTTTATTTACTTAGGTATAAAATTGACTAAACTGCAAAAGTACTGGTGGGGAGTTATTAAGTAATTACAATCGTATTTTATTTGAATGTTAAAACAAGGCAACAAAATTTAATTCATTACAGAGTTTAATAAAGACCATATTAATACCTACTTAAAACAAATAATATTGATAATATTGTGCTAAATACGTTTAACGTATGGATTTTGTAATAGAAATTGTTTTGGTGGAAATGAGAAATCTGAACTTTTGGTGGAAACGTGTCCCTCTAATAAATATAAAAGTATTCTGCATGAATATAGCTTAGATTCTAGATGTAACGCATACAATTATATTATTGTATTGGCATTAAATTATTGCGTTAATTTTACTACTTTTGTATCTTTCCATTTTTAATCTAAATCGTGTTAACAGTGAAAACCTTGTTGTGTATATATATATACCTACTGATATTTATTTGATATATTTACATCATAGATGATGATGATGAAATTTAAAATAATATAAGGTATGTAGCTTATATATGGACAATTTGTATTGACTACAAAGTTTCCGTTGACTACACGGTAATAGTTTTTAAGAATTACATTTTTTTTTTTTTTTTTGAGAGGATAGAGAAGTTAGTATTTTATACGCGTTTTGCAAAATATAATTAATATGATTTTACAGCAGTTCATAACTCTTTCAATATGTAATAGCATTAATTATAAATATAAGTATTTATAATCAATGATAATAGGCTGTATTGTAATATCTGATTTAATGATACCTGTTGAACTATACGACACTACATAGCAGAGCGTGTGTTCGTTAACACCCAAATAGGAATTTGGGAAACCGATTACTACATTACGCGATCTAACTATGGTATTGGACTATAAATACGAACCATGTTTGGCGCGTCCCCGGGAAATCCTTCGACAGAGGTCCGCAAAAAGATATATAATGTACTTATAGTGTATAGTGAATGTGTACATAATATTACATAACACATATCGAATAGGTACGCAAATTGACGTTTTCCTGTGCGCACACGATAGAAGATAATGTTTATAAAACGGTATGTATATTTATAATGCTTTAAAAAGTTATAAACGTCCATAACATGGTCATTGCTGCTGCAGCAGTAGGAGCAGTCGGTATAGAACTTGTACGAGACCTTGTGCGAAAGTGCATGGTTTCATTTCCCTTTTACTTATCGACCATCGGCTTCGTAATTTGAATACGTATGGGTACTGATAATTAATATGTATCAAATATGTTACCGTAGTGAACATTATGAATCGAATCTATATTGCTTGATTATATTTACGACTTCGTACGACAGGGCGTTCTTCATAAAAAAAAATAAAAGAAAATAAACGTTTTAAATGTTTAAAACGTACCAGCCACGATTTAAAATATATTTAAAACTAATTAATGTTGTAAACCATGGTAAAAATCGAGTAACGTATTTAAGTATTTAAGTTTAGGAATTTCAAAATCTGGTATCCCACCTATTTATATTATCCAGTTCGAGGACCGAAAAGACGAAGGACGAACTTCCACCATCATTATTTAAATAATAAATTTATATATTTATACAATAAAAACTCGGTTTTTCTATACATAATGAGTAATGAGTATTTAAATGTAAATTATCATGAACACATTTGGGAGCGCTAATTTTAAAAATGGGGGTGCTAAGCACACACAAGCCCCTCCTCTAAATTGCGCCTATGATTTTGGTAGGAAAAAATATGGAAGAAGATAATAATAGATTGGATGATTGGAGGTTAGCCCTAGAAGGAAAGGAATTGATAATAAGTAAAAATAAAACAGAGTACATAGAGTATGCCTTTGGAGGAAAATATCAAAAAGTTGAGGGTATAGAGATCAATGACAATAAGCGGTGATGTAATTAGTGAAGTCGAAAACTTCAAATATTAAGGATAATCTGCACAAAAGGACGGGGGCTTTGGCATGGATGTAAAACATAGAATTAAGTGTGGTATTATGAAATGGAGAGAAATGTTAGACATTTTATGTGATAAGAGAATTCCGATGAGGCTAAAAAATACATTTTACAGGAGAGTAGTGAGACCAATGCTGTATGGTTCAGAGTGTTGGGTGGTTGACAGGAGAATAGAACAGAGTATGAGTATTGCGGGAATGAGAATGTTTAGATGGATGAGTGGAGCGACAAGAGATGATAGAATGAAGAACGAATATATGAGAAGTAAGTATTGGTGTAGTGTCAATAGTGTCAAGATGAGAAAAAATAGACTGAGATGATTTGGGCATGTGATTAAGTGAAAGGAAACAAAAGCAGTAAGAGTGGCTATGAAAATTAACGTTAAAGGGAAACAAGGAAAAAAAAGACCAAAAAAAAAAATGGTTGGATACAATTGAGAATGATTTGAGGGCTGTTGATATGCGTAGGTGATGTAGAAAATAGAGACGAGTGAAGGTTTAGGATAAGAGTGACCGACCCCAAATAGTTGGAAGAAAGGTTAAGAAGAAGATAGCTAAAGTATTTAAATCTATATAAATATCAATAATTAGAATTAAAAATTGCAAGAAATGTAAATAATGCATTACAATATAGTGCAGTAAATTAAATACGCGTAGCATGTGTTACATGATAATTTTTATTTTTAATTGATTGGCTATTTATAATAGTGGAATAATTAGACAATTTTTAAGCTTATAAGAATAGCAAAAAACGGCGACTAATATTTTTGATTAAACACTGTTTTCATAGTAACCGTAAAGTAAATAACATTTTTTTAGTTTTAAGAATTACATTCAATATATTATTTATGAACATAAAAGTTTTAACATATATATACGTACAGAGAAGAATAACTGTGTTAAAAAGAACAGAGAACATATTTATATACATATAATTTTCAGTATTATACATCTGCAGTCTACGGAGAACATTATGGAAGGAGGTATTTATAACAGGATGACCATATTAAAAAAATTAGAAAACTAGACTCTTTTAAAACTTTTGTATTTTGTAATATATTATTATGTAATATTTAATTAATTATTTATTATTCCTTTATACTTTCACGAGCATTAACCATTTAGAAATTTTTGTTTTATTTTATTAATTCAAATTATTTATATATTTGTAAACATTAAACTATTAAAATACTTATTTATTTACGTATAAATAATATCATTAATAGGTATCTGTTGGTAAACTTTTATTTTTTATGTATATTTACGTGTGCGGACAACAGATCTACACACAAAAATAAAATAATACAACATGTACGACAAGACGGTCCGTGAAACAATAATTACTCGCTCCCAATCCAGGCTTTCACGCGTGGTCATGAATCACGAAATGCGAAACAATAGGCGTGGTTAAAAACGTAGAGAAATAGATGCTGTGCATAACGCGATCTATTGAGCATTTTACACGTTTTATGTTTAGTACCGCGACCCCATAAGAAAATTTAACTTACGCCACTGAGTGTGTTTACCTCTAAGCAACGAACATTCGCGGGAGCAAAACTTGTCATATTTTAGGAACAATATTGTGAACTTTGTGGCTTAACTCGTATCCAATTTATTTCTCCCGCTTATTTTCAATCGAAATTAAAAAAAAATAAATAAATTTAATTATATTATACGATATTCAAAGTATTCAAAGAAGGACACTTACACAAACGTACAGGCACTAGTCATAAATGTACTTATAGTACAAATGCAATAAAAAATGATAAGTCTTTATATGATAAAAAATGTTGAACAAATCATTACTGTAATTAATGTACACATCCCATATTTATACAGTAATAACTCGTAATCAAATAATTTTTATGTACTACCTATGTATGTATTTTAGTATGTGTACGTGAAAGTTTTACTTTGTGGGAATGTATCATAAAATATTTTACTATAGCTTTTAATTATGAAAAAACTTATAAGTAATACATACTGTGTGTGCCACACCATATTTCTCAATTTTTATTGGAATAAGCTGGAAAACATTGTAGTTTACCCTGTATAGCTACCATAATTGCTAATTATAAAAATCCAATCGCGTTGCACAATCTCAACACGCGTCTAAACAGTAGGTACACAGCGTTAGTAATTTTACGCGGTTTTTTTTATCAATCCCACCATATTACTGTTGTACGTATGCAAGGTCCAAAAGGGTATATATTTGTGCACTTAGACTCACACATACACAAAAATATGTATACTAAACATACTACACTTGTACATGTATATACACATAATGTCACGCACGTTTATCTCGACCAGAAAAGTCGTAATTTTTATCATTGCTAACAAAATTATACAACATAAAGCCTCATATAATGAGGCGTGTGTGTAATAATAATAATAATACTATGATAAAACGAATAAAACGGAATGCATTCATCGCACTGCAGGACCAGCACCGAACTATTACAATGTACCAGCGGCAATAGGTTTCAGTGGACATACGTTAATTAAACAACGACAGCCTGCAGTGACTATCGGACTGAAACGGAAAGAACCTACAGCGGAATACCAATTTCTGCCGAACAACCTCAGAGATCATACGCGTTTCGGGAAAACACACCAGCCCAACTACAATTTCAGCTACAGGAAACCGACGGCTTCAGGTTAGACTTAAATTTACAGGGTTGGGATTTTAACATTTGTAAAAGTCGCAAAAATGACAACTCTGATTATTTTTTTTTCAATATTTACCGATATGAGTAGTTGAAATTCTGCAAGGTAAAAATGTATTAAAAATAAATAATAACTAGGATCGTCTAGACTCTAGAGCAGGCAATTGACGGCCACATTCGGTCCGTTTACGTTTTATTCCTTTTGTATTCCTTTTATTATCACTTTACAACATTTTAGCGTTCATCAGAAATTAATTTTATCACTTGAATCGTAAAAATAGACATTATGTTTCCTATAGTATTGAACTCCAGCTAAATCATTAGATGTCTAAATATAATAAATATCCATATTGTCATAGCTAACTTAGCTGTAGGTATTAGGCATTTTTTTTTTTTGTATTGGTTCAGTCGTAAGCTTAAATTAATTAAAATAAATGCTTATTATCAATTTTAATAACCTTTTTCTTTTTTGCTTTGTTTACTATGATCCGCCAAATGTTCAAATTTTAAAAATTAGCCCTCTAGTTACTTTGAGTTGTCCATTCCTGGCGTATAGAATAGTACCTATTCACTTATAGAAATTGAATATTCTCTCTAAAGGGTCAATATTAAAAAAAAATCTATATTAACCTAAATCAAATTCATATACCTATATAAATGGATTTTGGGGGCGTCGTGGCCGAATGAGATAAAATTGTTTTGTATTATCGTACAGTCATCGATTCGAACCCAGCAGTTTCGTTTTTTTCTAACTAATTAGGTACACTATGATAAAAAATATAACTCAATTGCTGATATCTCATAATCAAAAAAAAAAATTAATATTGGTATACTTGAAATAAATATTTAAAAATTACTGGATCAGTTTATACGTGATATTTAGCTTTTCTTTGTTCGATCAAAGTAAATTTAAATAAGTACTGGTACCGTGTTAAGGTATAATAATAATAAGACACTCGAACTGTCTGCCAATAGAAAAGGTGCATAAATATTTTATAAGCCATAACGGCTTATTAAAAGACATATTTTTCACACCTATTAGTTGAATCAGAACTCTAAAATTAAATCTACCGCTAAATACATATTTCATTATAAATATTTAGTATTTGATATGTTATCTATTTGTTTAAACCTGTGTATCGTGTGCGTATTTATAAATCTATACCGCATACTATTTATTTTCAAGAACATATTCCGGCTCCTAACTTTTACAATCCGAAAATGGACTCGGTCCGACCAAAAGCGCCGCAAGTTTCGTTTCAAGGACGCACGAAATTCGGATGCCTTCAAAATTCTTATCCGGCCCCCAACCAGTACACGCTGAAACCGGCTATACAACGAGCAAAGCCAAAGACACAAAAAACTTTCGCACCGTAAGATCATTTCATCAATTATACATTTAAATATTACTGCTACCAGCTATTTCGGTGACGTAAAGGATGCCCCGGGACCTCGACAGTAAAATAATTCAGATAACTGTATCGTCTTTATAATTCGAATTACCCAAAGTTAATTGAAAATTAAAATCACTAATTACGTCCAAGAAACAGATTTATATCAGGACAATTTTTAATGAAACCCTCCGAATCAATTCTAAATTCGCTTCACTACCGGGATACCTGCTGAAAACATCGAAAGTTATTTATCTCTGCAGTATTATTTGCGTACTAGCGTGCCGGTACTGTGACGTACCTTCTCATGACAATTTCTAATTTTTTTCTTTCTACCCGCAACACAGACGCTTTCCGCTTATGTCTGAAAACGGACCAGCTCCGAATTCGTATTATTTGCCCGCACCGGACGCGTACAAATACAAGCGGACGACAAACACGTACGCGATACCCCGACGAAATCCGGTGATTACGAACGATCCTACGCCAGGTCCTAATATGTACAACCTGCATAAAAAAACTGGACAGGCCAAGACTTTCGGGAAAAAACCCACCTACAAGAAGGTTACGTATATAACTTATGATGACAACGCGTACTAGTAACAGATTGTTTAAGTGAAAAATATTTTTTTTCAATATAAAATATATTCTAGGTGTTTCTGAACTGAAACAAGGATATCAGCGTACTCGGTAGGGTGACCTGTTGACGTCATTTTTGAAGTTTAAAAATCACATCCATGCCCTAGGTTTTATCGTTTAATTCTTGTTTCTTCAATTGAAATAAACAATTATATTTCTTGCAGTTATAATGTGAACGAGGTGTGTAACATTATATTTACACTCGTAGCATGGTAATTAATAAAGTTTTTGCGTTGTAAAATAATCAAACATTTTCAGTCTTATGTGACTATTATTAACTTTGATACATTTTTCTTAGCAGAAATTAAGTTTTACAGTGCTCCATTCCATCATCACATGGCAAAATACCTTTAATGTTAATAAGAATCACATCAAACTGCAAGTTTTGTAAACACAATTAATTTAATAAAACTGTACTAATTTAGGATTATACTTGGTACAGTTTTATTAAATTAATTGTATTCACAAAACTTGCAGTTTGATGTGATTCTTATTAACATTAAAGGTATTTTGCCATGTGATGATGGAATGGAGCACTGTGAAACTTAATTTCTGCTAAGAAAAATGCATTAAAGTTAATAATATTCATGTAAGACTGAAAGTTTTGATTATTCTACAAAGCAAATATAGTGTTAATTAATAAAATACACACAATAAATAAATTACAGTAAAATCTTGGAAAACCGGCATTTATCAGACTAGAAAACTGCTAAATTTGATGGAGGTTTAATTCATCATTTTATAAAAATCATCTTTAAGGTGATTTTAGTAAAAAAAAAAAAAAAATTCGTTTTTTCTTTAAAATTTTGCCCAAAATAGGTATATGTCTACTTCGTTTTATTACGCGAAAATCATAAACGGAGGAGGGGGTCTTCAACTTCAGAAAACTTACTAGTTTTTAATGTTTTACGCATACTTTAACTATCGTTATTAAAAAAAAAAAAATTAAATAAAAATAAAATATTTTATCATTTGGACTTCAGTAGTTAGTTTTATTATCTATGATTTATTTTATGGGCATTAATACGAAAAAAACGTTAATACAGAGTGGGTTTGAAATTGAGCACACCTCGTATCTATGGATTTTGCATGAAAGTACTTGACATACATCTATTTCGTCAAAATTTTAAAGGAAATAACGAAGTTTTTATAAAAAATTACCACCTACATCATATTCTAACGTTTCATTAGAGAATACTACCAAACGATAAAAACACTCTTCAAGTGAAAAACTATGTGACACTTCATTTTTAATGACTATATATCGTAAAAAATATAATGAACGTATTCACATTTGAGATATAGTTCTAAGAATAAATTATTAAATTCTGGTTGTAGATACGAAAAAGAAATTTCAAAATGTTGTCAATCATGTCATTCCACTGAATGCGCTAATATTAGTTGACTTTCATTTTAGAAACACCTTGTAGAGTATAAAATGTTTATTTCAATGTTCATGTTTCATACTAAATTATATTATACTAGGTAGGTACCTGTTTAGATTGTAGGCGTTAAATTTTAGATTAATCATGATAGACAGTAGCATGATTAATATATGTTAAGTCAAGAGTAGGGTTATACATTTTAAAAGTACTTAAACACACTATTTAAATAAATTTGACAACAAATAACGATAATTCAAAAGTATACAGTAAACAACTTCTAAAAATGTCCAATTAAGTTATTGGTTACTTATAATGTTGTTGAGCATTTTGGGAGCATTCCCAAATTTTAATGGAGTTTTTTCACTGCTATAATAGTGCCGGTTTTTTGTTCAGTACTAATACACGTTAGCAATACAATGTTTTGTTGGAGAAAAAGTTGACAAGCTCGTTTTTTCGTACATATTAATAAGAGCACTTTTGGTTTTTATCAAACGAACACTTTATTGACTTCCAATGTTTTTAAATTTAAATTCTTTAGTAAACTTTAAACTCTAAACATTAAACATTTTAAAACTGAAATGGCGCCCCTGTAATCTTCATTACGTATTAATAAAATTAATGATATATTATATTGATTAATAAAAACTAAAATGTATCAACGTAAATTCATGTATTAAGTTTCTTTCTTTTTTAAAATCGAATATGTACCACATGTTTATTTCTCCATCCAATACAACTTCAATTTCAGTAGTTTATCAGATTGTAAAATGTAACTTGTTAGCGATTCCATTCATGCACCTAAACTTCTTACAGAGGTTAATTTTAGTATTTCTAATAGATCTATTAGATTATTTAATCTTTATTGTGAACTTTACATCACACTATAGTCAAAACCACATCATCCACCGAATGATGCATTTAGCAAACATAGACCTCAAATACTTTTTCTATTTATAATCTTTAAATTAATGTAAACTTCAAGCTACTGTGTTTTGGACAGCCACTTGTAATGCATGTAGAATAAAATATCAAATTATGTGTTCAAAAATGAAAAACAAAAGCAGTTTTCATTTTTTATTTTGAACAAAAAAGTTAAAATATTTTTAAAATAAAAATATATATATATATATATTTTAAAGATATTGTTAAAAGTGATTAATGTTGCATAAGTAATAATTAATGTAAGAAAATAATTATATATAATAATTTATTAAGTTATAATTAAATGTATTGTCATTCATTTATATGATTTTAATAGTATGTTAAGTATTGTAAATACAGCTGTAAAAAGTAATTGTTGTTTAAGTTTAAGATAAACTTACTTTTCGACTTCTTATCAAAAGTTTTAACAGACAGTACAAATCCCCAAACAACATTTATAAATTATACTTACATATTTTTATCTATAAAATTAAAATAAATGTACTTGCTATGGAGTTTATCTTATTTAAATTAAAATAAAAACTAGACACCATAATCTTGGTATAGGATACTAAGAGTACCTTTATGTCTTGAGGAAAAAATTACTTTCATTATTTCATTTCACTTGAATTCAATACATGTAAGATGTAGGAATTGTAAAATAAACTTAACTTTGCAAATATTTAATATTAATTTTATATAATCTTGACTGGATAAAATGGATACACTTTAAATAATTTGTTTAATTCATAAATCAATAAAATGATTTTAAAATCTTTAACATAGATATCACACAGTTTATTAGTTGTAAAATAAACAAAATACATCGAAAAAACTAAAAATACAATACAAAATAATTTGTATTTTCAGTAAATTAACAACTATACTATCTTAAATTAATTAATCAGTATAGAGATAAAAAATCATAAATAAAATACATTAATTTAAGTCTAACATAATTTTTAATATGGTTTGAACCATTTAAGTATACTTTTTTTTAATGATGACATTATGGTATACAATTTTTGGGGTACAAAAAATATATTTAATACTAATATGAAATGTTATACAATCTGTTTCACTTAAACATATTAACTTCACCACTCGGTCTTTTTACTAATGCACCTATAAATAGGTACTACAAAAATAACTAGTTAAGTTTTTAACATCATATATAAATAAATATATTTAAAATATGTAACCACAAAAAAAATCAACAGTATAGAATATTAAAATAGAAATATAATAGAACATTTTAAAGATTGCTCCATATAATAATCTATATAATGAACAATTACAAGTATAAATATGATAATTTGTTAATTTGGTCTCAAATAGAATTAATTAATTGTATTAATAATCATAAAAATTATCATAATGTTATCACTCATTATATAAAAATATATAACACCTTACCACTCTCAATTTTAAATTAGAAACTATCAACTTCCATACTAAATATTAGAACTTTTATTTCTATTTGAAACCTTTAACAATTTTAGACTAATGGAATAACATATTAATTATTATTTCATTATCTAATTACAGAGATAATTTTTTTTTAGGTGCAAGGTGTTTTTTTTTAATTATAATTAAATACTAATCAAATGAAATATTTAATTTGATTAAATAATATAATAATATGAAAATTAAGTAGGAGAATAATTATTGTATTTTATAGTACATTTGGCACAACAACATTACTAACCAAATATCATAACACACTTGATAAAGAAACTTGTTTATCAAGTGAAACTTAATATCAATTGAAGGCTATAGCGGGAAAATAATTCATTATATTAAATTATTATAAATTCATATTTTTTTCAACACATTAAAAATAATATTTTTTAACCCATCAAACATTATGACTGTTTTCAGGGTTTATAATATTGAAAAATTCATTTATTTCAGAAATATGTTAAAAAATTATTAATTTAAATGACCATTAAAATGAATTATGAAAATATAAGGTGAAAAAAAATATGGATAAAGTGAATCACTACCTCTCTTTCCTGGTACCCAAAATGTATTTATAAAATTCAACTTCTTAGGAACTAAGATAAGTAGATTTGATAGATAACAAAAGAAATTACAACTATTTCAAATCACAATGATAAGTGGTATAGTAAAAATATTTTTCAAGCTCCACCAAAAACATTCCAAATATCTTATCTTGTTTAATACGAAGATTACTTGTACATTTAAATGTTATTCATAGTAAAAAATAAAAGTTTCTCTTTTAATGTGACTCTTTGTTTATGATTAAAATTTAATTTTTCTATAATATCTAGAATTTTTTGGACACTGTAATATTAAATTTTATCAAGAGCTTTTGAAAAGAAATTGTTTTATATTTTATTTTTATTTAATCACTGAACTAACTATATACCTAATATTTTAGCTGTTTAACCAAAATAAATATAAATTAAAAAATTCTATCAGTACCTTATTATACATAATAGGTATATAATATACAATTTATGTATCAATTAATTTTCAGATAACTCAAAACATGATGGATAAGTAACAAATATTTCTTTTAGTATCATTACATTTTCATTATCTAATAAACTGAATTTAGAAATATGTTACAAGCATTCATGAAAAAAATAACATAGTAATAAAATATGCAAAGTGAAAAATGATTATACAGGAACTTAATTTAATGTGATATGTAATTGGAAAAGGAAAAATTGTTTAACTATTATAAATTAACATAATTATTATATTGGAATGAATAAAATAGACTGTTAAATACAAATTTCAATTGTTTCAAAATGATTATGAATTTGGACCTTTTAATATTAGAACCACTGAATATTATTTTCCTCAAAAAATTATATCATTTAAGTACAAAATATGTTTATTTTTGAAATGAAGAAATGTCATAAAAAAGGTAAAAATTAGTCAGAATATAACAAAACAAAAGTAACTATTTAATAAAAACAAACTAAAAATTGAAATGGTATTATTTAAAAATATTATAGACATGGAAAATTCAGGGAAAAATTAATTTAATTAGATCCTATGCATGACCATTATTGATTAAGCAAATAATTGATAGTAATATTATTTAAATACTAATTATAACACTTTATACTTGTTTGTAGGTTAATAAATTCCACAAATGTATGCCTATTATACTTGCATTATTATGTGACCAACTAAATTAAATTATTTTGCACATCCCAATGTTAATTAGATAATGAAAATAATGTATATAAACTACCTAAATATAATATAAACCTATTTTTTTTTTAAATATTCTAATAAACATAACCATTTAAAAATAGTTTAACTAAAACTTACTGACTGAGTTGTGAATACTGAATATTTTTAGTACAAAACAATTTGTCTTTAATTATCTAAATTTTCAAAAGATTTTAAAATAAAGTCTTTGAATGCATTGTATGCTTTATCTAAGGAATCGTTTACTATAACACAATCAAAGTTTCCAGGCGTTTCTCCTGAAAAATATTAGATATTTTATGTTATTTGTTCTAAGTTGATCCCTCGATAAACTTGCTTACCGTAGTTGATTTCCTGTTGGGCAGCATTCAATCTAGCACGGAGATTATCTTCAGATTCTGAAGCTCGCCTACGCAACCGTACTTCTAACTCACCAATACTGGGAGGTTTAATAAAAATACCAATTGGTTTCAGAGAAGGTACTTTTTTAATTTGAATCACTCCTTGCATATCAATGTCGAGTACACATATCTTGCCAGACTTTTGGACACTTTGAACAGCTTCCAAACTAATGCGTTTACAAAACAAACCGGATAAAACGGTGGGAAAAAGAACACAGATACAAGCAATAGCCATGCCACATGAATGCAGGTATTATAAACAACGAATAAACACTTTACCTGGTGCCATACATGTTGTTAGAGAAAACGGCGTGCTCGAGGAACTCACCACGGTCAATAGCCTGCTGCATCATTTCCTTGGTAGTGAAGTGGTAGTGTTGACCGTCCACTTCAAAACGTCGGGGCGACCGGGTGGTGTGTGACACGGAAAACCCGAACTTGTCCGGGTACTCGTCAAACAGTTTTCGCAGCAGCGTAGACTTACCAGAACCGGACGGGCCGCACACCAGCAGCAGCCTGTTGTTTTGTTGTACCATTTTCGTACAAGTGTTGGATATCCTCGCAATGCCTCGGAAATCGAGCAAACGGATTCGTACGGCTTCTGCTGCACACCCGAGCGCGGGCAAATCGGATTAATTTAGAAAAAGATTATTAATATTTCGGAAAGCGCGCAATCGATATGGCTAGGATAAAACGGAAAAACGAGTGTTGCCGAGGGGGGCGTCCGACGGTTAGCGTCGTCTAAGGATAGCCGGGTGTGTAACGAGACAAAAGTTCAGGAATGTACGAGGACGCACACGAATTAACGGGACTGGGTGAACAGATACGGAACAGTTACACGAAACAACCACGTAACAATATAGCAATGCGAGTACTTGACAACAACGTGTGTGTGGCGTCGACGCGCGCGCGTGCTTCCGTCGCCGTATCACGACGGTAACACGGTCCGGGGACGGCGGAGGGGGGGAGGGGCAGGAGAAAACGATCGAGCGAAAAAACGAAATCGACACCGGTCGTGTATTAATTTACGAACGCTGCGCACGGATGGTGCCATCGTCGGCCCAAGGATCCGTTCGGACGCGTCAGTTTTTCCGTACGTTTTTAAAAAAAGGGGCACGTTTTTCACGCCGCCGCGGGGTCGTCGATTTCTCCATGAGCGCATTTCGCCTACGGCCGGACGTGCTTACCTCCAATCAGCAAGGCGGTGGCACCACCTGCCCGGAAATACATGGTCGCAGTGTCGTACGCCCGCGAGGAACAACGACGGTTTAAATATAAATATTAGCACGCCGTCAATAACAATGGGTACGTCGACGAGCGATTAAGTTATCACGCAGCAACTGTACTGTTGACTGAATGCGTTCGGCGTACTCGGCAGATGAGCAAACGTGCCACATATCAATCATTTAGAACAAATTTTATCTGCAGACGCTGTACACGCATCAATAATAATCACCGTGATGTTAACCGCACGGTTTGTTTATCGATCATTATTATTTACCGACGACCTATGCGCGTCATTACACGATTTATGCATTTATTATTGATTGCAATAATTATTATTATTGCCATCGTCGTCGGAACAATAACAACAACACGGCGTGGCGTACGTATCTAATCGTAAGACACGCACACGCACACGGTGGAAGGGGGGGGGGAAGGGAGATGGACTATTCATTACTTCGGTCGCGCGGTAATGAAGATTTAAAAATATGGTTCACGGATTTTCGTTTTTTCCTCCGCAGTGCAACAGCTGTCCCGGGAACGTTTCCCTCCGTTATTCGGCTGTCGTCGCCTTATCAGTCGCATTACTCACCACATGTGCCGATACCGCGAACCGAACAGTACAAGGTACATCGTTCGCAGCATTAACATCACGCCGTCGTTCCGTTCCTCTCAGTTGTCGTACGAGTCGCATGACCGTCGTTACCGTTCGCCCGTTCACGAGACTCCATCGCACCCGTCTTCGTCGGCGGCCGAAACGTCATCATGGACAACCCGCAAACCACGGATTTTGTGCAGAAGATCAATTTGGAAGTAAGTCGTCCTTTTCGCCGATCTCTTTCACGAACCTGACGAGGCGGTAACATCGTGGCGGCCACCACTGTTGACTTGCCGTTACTCAATATAATCCACAGTGAAAGCACAGTTGTTGTGCAATCCCAACGGAGGTTTAGTCAACATGATTTGATAACAAACAATCGGTTTGGTCAACGGTCTTAGGTTTTGTGAACACAACACTTGATTGTTGCCAACCCTTATTCCTGTTAAGATGTAATATCATGTCAAGGTTCGAGTTTAATATTTTAATATGATTACAAGGTTACTGTACTAGTTTTGATTTTTTTTTAATTACAAATAGCTGTTTTCTAACGATGTATACTATCCTATACATTCATTTGTATTTATAGTGTGCCACATAAAACAAACCTATCATAATATAGTTAGTATTATTCAGAAACTTATTCAAGCTTAGATTATTATTGTTTCATATTAACAAATAAATCTTTATTCTTCATCAAATTCATAAAAATGTTTGTTTAGAAAATGAAATAAATACTTGTAGTTTTAAAAAAAAAATTATTATATAGTTTCTTATATAATACGTACCTTCTTAAAAATGTTACTGAACACTAATTATTTATATTATTAAAGTTAACTGTTATTTTTAAGCAACTGATTTTTTTTAAATCTCTCTCATTATACTTATGCTAATTAATTGGCATTAATAGATCCAGAAATCTATTTTCTTATAAATAATGTATTGATTTGTTGGCTATTACATAATTTTGATGGCAAATATTTTTCATTAATTTTAATTGATTTAGAATAGTTGATAAATAAAAAGTGACTAATTATATTTTTATATATTTATTCATTAATTAACATATAATATTCAATTTTTATATTTGTTAAAATTAAAAGTTGCATTTAAAATCTTAAATTCTATTATAATTAGCCTGTTCATTGTTTTTTTTTGTAATAGACAAAAACCTAAAAAAAAAATAAGTACATTAACTAGGTGAACTTTGTATGGTTCTTTATAACAAGTAATTATTAATTCATATTTTGTATTATGTTGAACGAAGTTCAACATCAAAATAGTTTACATAAATTATACTATTATATTAATGTTAATCATGAAACAATTCATATTAAATTATTTATTTTCTGTTTGAATAAAATGAATAAGAAAAATACATCATAAACCACTTAATTTTAAGTAAGACAGTTAATATTAATAATTAAATGTTTTAATTTTTTTATAGGCTTTACAATGTAACTATTCACTGGAGCAAAAATGGAAAGGCCAGAAAAGAGAATATGAAGAATTACATACATGTTTAGAAGAATTTCCTAAAGAATTGTCAGCACCAATAATGATGCCAATTGGAACTAAAGTGTTTATACGTGCACAATTATGTAATACGAACGAAGTGTTTATTAGATACGATGATATTTTCACTAAACAGACAGCCTATGAGGCTAAAGCTGTTTGTAAAAGACAAATCAAAAGTATGTATAGTTTTTAACTTTAAAAATATTTTATTAACACAAGTTGATTATTTTTATTAGGGTGTGATGATATGATTGAAAATCTAGAAAAAGAAAAACAATTTTTAAGTAAAAATTGTAGTGCCAGACAAGAAATATTTTCTGATTCGCAATCAGACGAATTAAAAGAAATAGTTGAACCATATGATGAAGAGAAAGAAGCAGAATGGAAAGGTAAATAATTTGAGGATTTTGAATTAATCTTAAAAATAACAAATTTTCCAACCAAATGGTGGTTTATAATTATGCATCATATTAATTAAGAAAAATGCAAATTATCTAGTTTGTTAATAACTAACCATTTTTATTTCAGAATTACATAAGCAAAAAGTAAAAGAATATAAACAGCAGTTAGCAGAGGAAAAAAATAAAAACAAAATTACAGAAAAAATGAGTTATGAACAATTATGGAATCTATGTGATCTCTCAAAATATGCTTCAAAGTATTATGCTTTTATCACAATATATTTTGTGTGAAATTTTCATTTAATATTTTTTTTATCTTTAGTGAGGATGATGATTCTGATGATGAAGACTTAGATAGTAATGATATTGATGATGATTTTCTTGATGAAGATGATGATGATGATGATGATGATGACGATGATGAAGATAGTAAAATAGAAATAGTTTTTACTAATGATGTACCAGAAACCACGAGAAATGTGAAGAAAAAAATTAAAAAAAGAGTATCATTTAATAATGATGTTCAAATTAAAGAATTTGAAGCAAGACCTGAAGAACATTTCATACGTAGAAGAGAAGAAACTAATAATGAAAATGAGAACCCTAAAGTATGTTCAATTTTATTTGATTTTTTTTTTTTTTTTTTTATATATATTGCCTTATACTATATGCTTAGGTTTTAAACAAACTTTGGTTGTTTAACAACAAAATTTGGTTTTAAACCAAATCAAGAAATGTATTGGTTAAAATTAAAATCAAAAGATGCTAAAGTATTAATAATCATATATAGTAGGGGTGGCCAATAGGTCGATGTCAATATGAGTTCAAATTAATCGCAACTCCCTTTTTTTTAAAATTTTTTTAGAAAGCAAATTAAACAATATTTTTGTTCACCCCACATATTTAAAAATTATATTAATAACAATTAATGAAGATAATGTATACAAATAAATAACTATGAAAACTAAAATTTTTATACAGAGATTGAGTAAGGATATTTCTATTTAAAGTAGGATATTCTTTATTAAATAAATTGTATTGCATTCATATAAATTAATAAAAAATATATAATTAAGTATATATTATGTAAAATTAAATATTATTATTATTTATCAATATTTAAATAGAAGAAATAAAGGATGTGAGTGTAACATTATGTAGGTATATAAAATATATTTTTGCTCAGTGACAACCTTTTTTTCTAGTTGTTGATCATGATAACCTAGAAAGCTTAAAATCTGATCACAAATCTATAAAAGTTGACCACTTTGATATATAGCATAAAAATAAACATTTTAGATGGTAAAATGTATATTGTCTCTACATTTTTGATTTTGCTGCAATAAATTTTTTATAGAAAATTGTCATTTTAAAAAAATGATTAAACTTTGTATTGTAATATTATTTATTAAAAATAAGAAAAAAAAAGTAATTATAATAATAAACTATATATATTTTTAGATACTTGTAACTGAAATCAATGATATAGTTGAAAGAATTTCTGATACGTGTCTCGAAAATGAAACTGATGAAGAAGAGAACCCAAGACCCATGAGTAGATTCAAAGCAAATCGAAATAAAAGCAAAAACTATTAAATTGCAGTTATATATATATATTTATTTTGTTAAATTTAAGCTGTTAATAAAGCTATACATATGTATATAAACTATCTATAAATATATCACCAACTTTTTATAATTATTCATATCTGTGATGTCATTTTTATTATATAAACAATAAATTCATATTTTAGATCTCTTATGTAAGTATTTAGTGTTGTTAATAGAATATAAAAATATGTATAGTAAGAATTATATTAGTACAATAAAAAAAACATCATTGAGGTACATAACTAAATGTCTAATGATGTGAAAATAAAATAACTTGTAAAATTAACAAGATAATTAAATGGTAAATACAGCAGTACAGAAACTTAATATTAGTCAGGTATTTAACATTGAATGTACATAATGGTTCGAAATATTACTATTTTTTATTCATGAATGTAAAATTATAAGTCAATTGTATTATATTTTAACTAAGTTACAATTAAAATGAATATTTTTATAAATTATGCCAATTAATTATTATAAATACCTCTCAATATAAAATTACCTTCACAACCAACCATCACTTGTATTTATGGTAAATAATTATATATTGTATCTTTAATAAATATTTATTAACTATCATATTATAATATTACACATATAAATACATCATCATCATTATTATTATTATTATTATTATACAATATTAAGGACTGTGATACTAGTGTATACCTAAAAAATTTTCCTATAGTTAAAAATTATTTCTAGTAGCATTCACCTTATGCAATGTGAATAATTTTCAATTATACATAGTATATTGTTGCAAAGAAAAGTTTATAAAATATAATCATAATAATAATAATAATAGAAAAAAATTAATTTTTCATAGCTCATTTATATATACCAAGGGTATTGCTTACAATGTATATCATGCTGACATTGCACACCAGTTAAATTGGCCATTTCAAAAGTATAAATGTTAAATTGGTATTCTAATATATTTTAATAATACTAATTAAAAAATTACATTTTTCATTTTAATTGGCGTTCTGAATGCATTGTAAACAAGACTATTATATTGCTGACAAATTAATGTGTAAACATAATATAGTTTTGTACTTTAAAACCTAATACGGTAGAATAACGATTATAGTAATACAGAAATACAATAAAAATACACAATATATGTTTTTGCCACAGTATTGGTTACAACAATTTGTTGAGCAAAAGTATTATGTGACAATAATGAACGAATAATAATTTAAGATTTTAAGCACCGACTAAGACTTTATCTATTACATCATTAAATCATACTGTTAATAAATAAACTATTTCAAGCAATTAAGTATCAGTGATATTAATATTTATACAGTTAAAGTGACAATAAAAATAAAAATGTGAAACAAAACTTACAAATTATGTAATATGTATAGTAAAACCTATTTATCTCAACTAAAATATTTCAGACCACATTTTTAGGTATACAATGATATGACAACATTTGGGAACTTTGGTTTCTAAAGAGTAATAAGAATTCATGAAACTTGATTATTTATTATTTTACATAACAAATGAACGTCTAAAATCCAAACTTATTAACTAATGACAATGTGTTAAAAATGAATATGAACATACAAATTTATCAGTGCCCGTAATGTTATTAAATACTAATTTTGTTTCAATATTCTCATCCAAATAAAACTATGTGTTAGAATGTAAATAATAATATTAAGGAAATGGATTTAATTTTTATGTAGAAATATAGAATAGAAAATTAACCAAAAGAGATGTAAAGTACCACAACAGTCAGCAGTTGTGTAAAGCGCAAAATTATCTATTGTAAGTGGACGGCCAATAATGACAATTTTTACTTTCAAAATCAAAATAAATATACTTAGTACAAAAATATATTGAAAACAAGAAAAACCAATGCTTAAATAAAAAAATGCACACATTATATGAAATATCTATGAATTATTTCATTGGTGAGAAAAATCGCTTGTTGAAAACCTTTAAAAAATTTGTTTATAATAAAAATATGTGGGATTAAAATATTTTCAAATACTGAAATTACATTAATATTTTAAATAAAATTTAATAGAAGATATTGCATCAGTACAAAAATATATAAAGAATTATTTAACTTATAACTTAATAATATTTTAAATTGGTCGTAATTCCACACACAAAAAATACAAAAAAAAAAAAAAAAATGAATATAAATAAATATATGCACATATTAAGAAAAGTACAATAATTTATAGTTTCAACTTCTGTTTAATGTATGATAAAATATTTATTTCATATGCAGACAATATATTATATATTTGATTATGACTTAGGGTTGATAGATCGTAAGCAAAATGAAGGAGAAGGTGATGGAGAATACACTACGGTAGGTGGTGGTGGAACTCTCTGACGCAATGCTAATGTATTAGGTGGACTAGTCATATCATCTTTGACGTGACGATAATGTAAGCCACCCAAACCATCGCAACGACTTAACAAGGCCAATAACAATGTCTCAAGTGCACACAAATAACCCAAGGCCTGAAAAAAATCAATAAAATATATTTTACACGGTCTTCATAATCAGATTGCTTTTTACTTACTGCAGCCACAAGTAATTGATGGCGTGTTGCACGTGGTACCCAAGTATAAGACTCATGGAATGAATACACTTGATGAAGAACTAGTGAAGAGCTTGTGAGACACAAGATAGTCATCATGACATAAAACAATACATTCTGTTAAAAAAAATAAATATACAAAAGGTCAGTGTTATAACATAATTGTTAGTTACTCTGATATTTATCGTTTTACTTACCAATTTACCCCAGTTGAATGGAAACAGATATACAGTGTGAGTGACGTCAAGAAAAAGTATAGCTCCGGTGACTAGAAAATTGAACAGTGTGACAAATAGAATGAATCTTATCCGATTTAACATTGGTAGCATAAATAAAGCCAACCGGGAAGTGCCAGCAAAGCACAGGCACAACATGCACAGGGCACAAGTCACCTGAAACAAATGATTATAATTGGTCATAAGACAGTACAGTGGGCACAGGTTGACAAAACTCACCAGCAACAAGACTCGAATCACACCCGATGGGGTTTTCATAGGCCTCTTGTCATAATGCAGTACTACTCCATTGTACCTAGCTCTAGACGCTTCCTGGTGTTTGTAGTTGGCATGGGAATCCCATGACCCAGGGGTGCCCGCCATACTGTTGGTTACTTCCAACCACGAACCTCCCGTTTGACTGCCGTTGATTTCAAACTCCTGTTCGTCGTCAATAGGAGCAATGTTTCCTTTTGGTTCCAAATCGTGAATCTCTTCCAGCAGCACCGATATTTCGTCACTAACGTACAGGTCTGACACAGAACTCAATTGGGCTGGGCCCCGCTGCATCACTGTTCAGGCACCTGGTATACCACCTATTACATCACACCTCGTCCAGTATTCAAATACACTTCGTTTTCAATAATATAGATAGTTAAAAGAAAAACTTCCTACAATAGGTATTTCATGCAAGAAAAACAATAAGCTATTGAGTAATAAAAATAAAAAAATAAAACGAATGCGTCACCGAGTTTTTTTGGCGTCCTATTACCATGCTTGTGGTGTAAACGAAATTTAAATTATCAAAAAACGTATAAACGTAAAATAACGAATTACAATAAAATAATATGCTTACAGAGTCGATGTGAATTGATACAGAATAGATGGAAAATCTATTCTATGGTAGATTTATCGTACAGGTATCCTGATTTAGCTACGACAGCAGTTGTTAGTCGTAAGTTACACGAACGAACGGTTTTGTTGCACACCCGAGAAGGGTTATGATCATACTATGTGTAAACTTTGACTAATGGAAAGTTGCATTTCACTTGAACACATAAAAAAAAATAGTAGTAACAAAAGGGTTCAACGTTGGTTCAACGACCGTACCTTTTGAATAATAAATTTCTCTGGGGAGAATAAAAATAGACATACTTGCAGTTAATAAACAGAGATATGACACCTATAAAATAATACCTATGTATTACTTGTCATATTTTCAACTAATTCCATTTGTTAAAATGTAAAATTGTTGAATTTAAGATCCAATTGATATAATATACGTATTTCAACCACAAGTCTATACAATTATTTAATAATATTGGTTTTTTAAGTCTAATAAATTAAATTCATCACCAATTTGGAGTTGTGAAATTTATTTCATAATTCAATTATTTTTAATAGATTCAAATAAACTTCATTTTAATTATAATAATTAATTTATAATCAATTTTTAGACAGACATAAAAAGCTAGCACCCAAATAAAAATTGCAAAATATATGGTATTTATAAGTTAATTAGGGTAATTCAATTCAATTATAATTACACTAAATTTAATTTTTGAAATACTTTCTAATGACTGTTAATGTTTTTAAAGCGTATTTAGGATTATTATAGAAGACATAAGTCAAATATTTACCTTTTAAGAAATATTTGATTTTATCATAAGTTATTAATATTTTATTATTACTATTAGATATTTATATTAATGAAAATGGTGGAAAGTATGAATTGTAACAACAAAATAATATTCGTAATAACGTTTTATTTTTAAAACAATAAAATAATCACATTTTTAACAAATAAATATAACAGTATTATAAATAAGTGTAATAATAAATAAAACAGTTTTAAATTATTTTTAAATGTATTGGATCTACACTTAGCGCTTTGTGTGGACCAAAAGAATAAAATTATGACCGGCATTATGAATCTATAACACGAGAAAAAAAAACATGAAGTGCGTTTATAATAATATACTCACTCCTTGACTTGCTGGTAAATACTGGTACACATTACTACTGCACAGAAGCATGTGGCGCATATGTCTACAGTTTAATTTTTCTTATGTCGTCCTCTCTGAAATCGACACGTAACTTCAATATCTGCCTAATAGTGTCGGGCGTCAACTTCCACGAGAACCGCATGCCGCTGTCGGGGTTCAAAAACTCGTTCAGGTCGGATACGCGTTCCAAATTCAAGACGGTCGTGACCTGGACCAGCCGCGCGAACTTCTCCCTGCTCGGCCACACGCTGGCGCCGCTGAAGTAGTTGATGAGCGTGCGGACCACCTTGTCCAGGGCCATACTGCCCAGCCGGTTGAACTCCGTCTTCATCACGGCTTTCTCCAGTTGAAGCGCGGACTCCTCGGCCACGACCACCACCATGTTGTTGTAGTTGTTGGTGGTCAGCTTCGTCTTGAACTCCCTGAACATGGTGTCGATGTTCAGCACGAGCGTCTGCACGAACGGATTGTCCGCCTCAGCCTGCGCGAACTCGGACTCGGACATCTTGTAGTTCTGCTCGTAGAACGGTTCCATCCAGACCAGCAGCTTGGGCTCGACCAGTGAACTCTGCAGCTGCCTGAATCCGTTCTTGTTGGAGGCCACCAGCGACGCGTTCACGCGAGAGAAGTCGTGCAGGCAGCTTTCCAGCTTGTCGGTGTTGCAACCGACCAGCTTCAGCGGTATCTCCTCCCGGAACGCCTGGGACAGCGACTTGGAGTACTCGACAGCCACCTCGGTGTTGTTCAGCGCAGCCAGGAACGACTGCCGGACCTTCTCCAGGTCCGGAGTGAACCGGTTGAAGTAACCGGAGCCCGGGTACCCGGCGCTAAGCGTCCGTCCGAAGAACGTGCACATGTCGGTCTCCAGCGCATTCACCGCGTTGTTGATGACCGCGCACAGCACGTCCAAGCTGCCCGATCTCAGCGAGCGCATCACGCACTTGCGCACGATGAAGAACACATCGTCCACCAGGCTCGATGTGACCGCGTCCGCGTCTTCGTCCCCCTCGATCGTGTCCATCTCCACCGCTTTCTTGATACTCTCTTCCATGTAATATCTCTCAAACTCCAGATACTTGCCCATCAACTCCTGCACCGAGCAGCACAGCTTGCTGTCGTCCAGTATCGACTTGGCGCCGGAAGTCTTCGACTCCAGGTCGCCGTTGACACGTTTGCGCACGAACTTCGAGTACAGATCGTAACGGGCCAAGATCAACACGATTTCTTCGACCAGTAAGTCGATATCTTTGGAATCGGGTTTCTCCACGTTCACGTCACACTCATCGCGCATCGTTTTCAGTAGCTCTCTTATTCTTCGCCTTTTCAGAAACGCCTGCAACACACTGTTACTGAAAACGTCACAGTGGGCTTGCAAACGGGACAAGAACTTAACAATGTACTCGGGACCGTAGTGGGTTTCGATCAGCGGTTGTTGAACCTCTATCGTTTTAGCCACTTCTTCGAAAACGAATGTTAACCCGTCGGCGAAAATAATACTAGCCCGATTGTTCGACAACGACGTATCCGTGACGTTTTTCAAACTTTTGTCGGCTGTAGCTTTCAACACGCGTCCGAGATAATCAACGAACTTTTCCAAACCCGCATCGTGCATGCCGAGCAGTGGAAAGATTTTGAAATACCTTTCTATAGATCTCGAGTCTTGGACTAAAGATGCATGTTCAAACCTTTTTGACACGGTTTCTTGAAGAAGCTCTGTAGCGTCCTGCAAGTGTTTCAGAGCGCTTGTGATCATTGAACAATCTTGGGCCATGTCGTCTGCTGTGCGCTGCAATTTTGTTTGGTCGATCGACAGATACCGATGTACGTGAGCAGCAGCTTGCTCCAATTCATCATTTTTCATTGCGATTTGAACACCTTCGCTACATAGTTGCAGATCTAATAAATCTTGAACTCGTTTTTGACACTCCGACACACGTCCTCGAATTTTATCCAACTGCCGAACTTTAGAAGATATGTCCTCGGCAAGTTTAGAAGAATCAAGAATTCTAGTTTGAACTTGAGAAAGGTTTTCTTGAAGTGAGTTTAAAGAGCTAAACTGTTTAGTAACCAAATCAACATCACTAATAACAGTGTGCCATCGGTTGGAAAATGCTTCCAAACGTTTTTTTGAAGAAATTTCTTCTTTGTCCAACAACTCCAGTGCGTTCTTAATTTCATCTGGAGTAATATAGTCTTCGTTACATGACATCATGACCTTTAACAAAATTATAATGTGGAAAAAACTAATCCATGTTAACCATGTTAATTGCATACAATTATACTTTCCACTTTATATATTTTTTTAAAGGCTACTAAGAAATGATTACACCATTAAACTAATCAGTAAATTAAAATATAATGCCCTAATATAATAATTTATTCAAGTATATCAAACATATATTTGATAATTTCATAGTATTCAAAACAAATAATTATTCAAATATTAAACCACCATAAAAATTGAATAAAATAATAAAACCGATTTATGGGAGGTTTATGTAAAATAATTTATTGAATAATGAAAATTGGTGTTTAGTTGTACCCAATAATACAATAAATTAAATACAATTGTCTTTATTTTTGAATATACATTAGTAAAAATATTAATTATTTTGAACTATAAATGGTATGGTAAAAAAAAAGAACATCAATAAACAAATGTGTTTATTGTTTAAATTCAAAATGACTAGGTACTTTAAACAATATATTATATAATTTAATAAATAAATTTTAACTAATAGCATTATGTGTTAAGAAATAAATTAAATTAACTTTTTAGTAAATATGGTAAAAATTATAATCTTTAAATAGTAAATAATATAAACAATAAGGAAGCCTAAATATAATATGGTATATAAATATTAATAATAATATATTAGTAAGAGCCAAGTAGATACTATAATTGTTTTTAAGAATCTAGGTGGATGTAATATAATATAGATAATACCCTTAAATCAGATGGTGGTTTCTAATAGTATTTGGTTAAATAAGTAATGACTAACTCTATATTAAAACTAAATCATTATTGTTGAACAGTAATTGCTAATTGCTTTAATTGCTTAAGAACAGTTTCTAATAATTTCTTTTTATCTCTTTCACTTTTTTTCAATACTGAAAATACACTTTTTTTATCCGCTTCTTTTAATTTTTCTAATACAATAATAGCTGTGGTTGGTTTAACATGTGAATATTTTGATGTTTCTTGACCATAGTCATGGAAATATGTTGACCAATCCCAACTCAGAAGTAAGTCCAAAAGTTGTCTTAATGGAGCAAAATGTTGAGAAAAATCTGGATCTTCAGTCTTCCCAAAGGGCTCCGATGCAGCAAATAGTTCACATTGAATAACATCCAAATTTAATTGATTTAAAGCACCCATAGATAACTGTTTGATGTCATCACTGAGTAATAAGTTTAATACAGATTTAGAAATATGTTCAAATGCAACTTGATATACATGGACAGACACTTCTTCAGTAAGATTTCTCAATGCATTAAAAACTACACGTAAAAAGTTTATTAAATCAGTAACAAATGATGAAGCTTGACCGGTTGGTTCAACTAGCATCCAATCATAGTCTTCTAAATCCAAAAATTCATTAAGTTTTAATTTCATCTTATCATACATGTGATGTTCAGCGTCATTTCTGGCCACACCCAATGTGATCCCTGCATCATCACCAACAGTTCCACCGGTAGATCCAGTAGCTTCAGATACAAACTGTTGAATTGATTTTGAAGATTTTTCTAAATATCCAGTATCAACAATTATCTGTATAACTTGTAAAAGACCAAGCCGTGGTTGATGAAAAGCAGATGACAAACATCCGCTAAAAGTTCTAGATAACAGTAACTTAGTAGATTTTTGAACCATCTCATCAACTTCTCCTTCGCTAAAATTTAAGTCATTTGAAAATTTTAGACAGGCATATATAAACTGCTTTACTTGATCATATACACTAGGCACCATCGAAGAAAATGGAAATTTTCTAGGAAATGGTGATGATTCTAACTGTTCATCTTGATAAGGAAATGTACGTACAACATTATCATATTGTTCTTGGTTTTCCACCTCGAGATGACAAAATGTTTCTCTGTATAAAATATCTCGGAAAACTTGAACCCATTTTTGCATTAGTATTTCATTATAATGTTCTTGTATTTCATGTAATAATTCTAAATAGTTTTTAACAGAATACCCATAGCTTCTAAGTGTTAAGCAAAATACCATAATTAAATCTTTAATTTTCAAGAGTAAATTTGCATCTGTACAGTATGCTGTATTTGTTCTCATTATGCTAACTACTTTGTCAGAAGCCATTTTCCACAAGTCTTCTAAATAAGGTCTTGTCAATAATCCATTTCCAGTATTTAATACATGATCTTCTACAACAAAAAATCCTACAATACTTTGTAAATAATTACAATAAGTTGCAATAGACTCATGCATGTTGTTTGGTGGGTGAAGAGTTAAAAGGGCTTGTTCCCTTCTTTGTTGTCTGTAATAAGCATCAAATGCATCTCTTGAAGATAATACAGTACAAATATGAAGACAACGATAAACAGGAGAGAAATCAATGAGATCTTGTGCACTTAACGAGTCTTCATCATCAGAATTATCATCTGGTGAATCTTTTTTCTTCTTCAATTTAGTCAAACCAAAATCATAGTTTTGTTGTTCAACACTATGCTTCATTGCAGCTTCTCCTACTTTAGATGAAAATTTTCTTATAGTTTCTAAAAAGCAATTTAAATCTGACATAGATGATTCTTTGATATTTTCTCTCAGTTTGGGAATTTTTTCTATCATTTGCCTAAAAAATTTATAATGAGATACTTGAGGTAAATATAATTGTTCAAGTTGTTCTAATGTTTTTAATGCAGGATAATAGCGTTTATCAGCCATTTGTTTTTGCAATTTACTGTATGAAGAAAGTGCGGGCAAACATAATGATAAACTATCAATAGCCATTTGAATATTATTCTCAACCTGCCTGGCTTTCACTAACTCTTCACCAGCATTTGTGACTTCAGCAACAGTGGTCTGCACATTTAAATTCAACTGAACAACTTGTTTTTTCAATTTTGAAGCTTGATTTTCTACTTGCTGTAATTCTCTGATAGAGTCTATGAATCCTTGGTAATAGAAATTGCACATGCGTTCAATTTCTTTGTCATATTGTTTGATGCGATTGTCCAAAGTATCAATGAATTTGCGGCTGTCATCATCTTGATCGTATATGGCCCGGAATGTTGGGCCCCAGTAATCATCAATGCCTTCTATCTCTTGTAGCAAATGGTCTTGGTTCTGCATGTTTTCTACTCAACAAGCTAGCACAAAAAAAAACAAAACATAACTGGTTTCTTTTTGTAACTTGCAAATATTGTATCCCTATGATTTATAACTGTACACCAGGACCCACCGAGCAAACACCATTACCCGCCATTGGATATCCCAAAAAAGAAAAAAACTCCTAAACAACACATTCAACTACGAATAAAAACGAAGCCAGCTGACGTAGGAAATAAACAAAATCGTAACAATATACTTCGGCTAACTATGTAAGTATAAAAAAATAAATAATAATAATAATGAAAAACGAAAAACATAACAAGCTACGATAATTTATAAGATGATGAGTACACATGAATTGTTACTTACATTTATAAAGATAATGAAAACGGACGAGACATTAATCTCAATGGCTGGCGAACGGTAGGACGAGAAACCTATTATGCGGCTAAATTTTGATGTTGCTATACTTTCGGTATTCAACGGGACATTTAGCAAATGTGCAATAATATCGACCAGCGACACACGTAAACGGAGCCGACCGCAAGTCAATCTGAATATCTCAGAGCGTCGGCGGAAGGAGTGGAGCGCCTCGCGCACAGATTAGGTGTGCGAAAAAAATCAAAAGTAAACACAATGGTGATTCGTCCCGAGCGAAATCCTGCACAGTGCGACCAACCTAAGATGGCGGGCTATTCAAAAACACCAAGGACGACAATCCGAGTGCGTATTGCTCATAGATGATAAACAAATCTCATGTCATTTTCAATATGGTATTATGGTATTACTAGTTCCAATCTATTATGTATTTATTATTCCCAGTGATGGGAAAAATCGATTGATTTTTTTTAATAATCGAATGGATCATTCTAATGGTTTTTTTCACTCGAACGATAAAATAATCGAATGGTTTTTTTCATCTCACCACCTGCACACTACTGACTTGTGACTGCTTTATAGCCATTGGTCTTATAAGTATGTATGGTATAGTCATTGGTACAGTCAGGCCCAGCACAAGGGGGCAAGTATAGAGCGGCATTCAACATTTATCTACTAAAGATAATTTAACGGGTCTGGGTATAGTGTATAATGTATAAGAATAATATAATATAATTAGGTAACACTCAGTTGGAGTAGTATCAACTACTTTTTTATAATCTTTCGAATATATCACCATTGAAATATCTATTCCATGTATCTAGGTAGAGAATAAAAAATATAAAATAGAACAAATATTTATTACAAGTATATAACTAATGTATAAAATATTAAATATTAATGATAATTTGGAAACTGTATCTTGCATTGCGAAGAAAAGTAATAATATATAAAGTTAAATTTAAATTTAAATTACTATTTAAAAATACAATATAATTTAAATTTTTAGGGTTAAGTCTGTTCCAACGGTCATTTGTTATTCGTCTCGTTTTTGAAAACACGCATTCTTATGGAACAAAAGTCGCGAGAATACATAAATAATTTAATTGTAGCGTTTAAAGTTCAAAGAATATAATTTTGTGTTTTTATATAGACCCAGTGGCGTATTTACGGGGGGGGGGTCCAAGGGTACTGGACCCCCCCCAGAACCTCTCTAAAAAATAAAAAATTAACAACAATTCTTACATATTTGCAGAATTGGGTATGTTAAACATTCACAGGGAAGTTGAAATTACTGTTGATGAAGTGATAGAGGAGTTGGCCAAAAAATCGAGACAACTGGAATTTATTTTATAACAATACTTTATAATATATAATGCTAAATACAATATATAGGTACATATATATATAATATTACATAAGACTTTACGATTATTACATTATATATTTAGTTCAACTTCCTCCAAAAACTGCATAAGGACGTAATTATTACAATATAATATATTGTTTATATTAATTATGAATAAACTGTGGACCCCCCAGAAAAAATTGAAAATACGCCACTGTATAGACCCGAGGATACCTATTTACTATAAATTTGTATCATATGAAAGTTTTATTCGATTAATTCATTCAAATTTTTAAAATAATTTTGAAAATAATCGAATTGATTAAATTATTCCCATCACTTATGACAACGACGACCAATCAGTAGTAACATAATATACCGTTCATATTAGCAAAATAGTCATTAGTAAAAATTATTCTCATACAAAATTAACTCACCCGAGTAGATTAAAACAACGAACAGAGACAATAAACAGACGAAATATTATAATTCGTACATAGATAACGCAAAACAACAGAGAATAATGGCAGACCAGAATTCGGTAAGAAACATTTGAAATAAATCGTTATCGATTGAAGGGGATGGGGACCGTGGCCGAGCGTGCTTTGCAAAAATGCAAAGTCGCTAATTTCGTCCATTTACTGTATTATTAATAATAATACATTATTCATTTAGACGGTTTGTACATTTTAATAAGAGTTTGCGTCACTCGAATCCCGTCACCGCGAATCAGCGCAATTAATGACACGTATTGCGCTGGCGCAACAGAACCTTTCTACTACCCCGTTCGGTCCATCGGTACAAAAAATAACTGTCGAGAAAAAAATAGCCATGTTACTAGTACCTATTATGACATAAAATAAATAAAAATAAATAATGATCATTGCATTTTATCATATTATATTATTCAACAATTATTACAAACGCACACTCAGTGGCATAACTGGGAAAAAAACCTAGGGGGGCAATATAATATGTTTATTATTACCAAAACCTTGACATCCCTCCCCTCACCAGTTAAAACATATTTTTATTGTATGTATATTATACACTATAACTAATTGTTTGATTTTACATAAGTCTTTTAACTTATTTGATGGTTTAGATAAACATAAATTGTAGGTAGTATGTATTAGGTACCAGTTTTGTTAAATAATATCCATAAGAGTTCATTAATAAAAGGTGCTATTTTTACTGTTGAATTATCTGGGGTGCCAAATTACAACTCTATCTCTTAAATAATTGTCAGAGGGGGCACTTGCCTCCCCCCCCCACAATTACGCCACTGCGCACACTGTACTATGTCGCTCAAGTTGGTCGTGCGCGTACGAATCGGTTTGTACGGGTGCAGACCTATGCGTTTTTTGACGCGGTACATCAAAGAAATTAACGATTGTTCATATTTTTATTGAGATTTGATAAAATATAACTGTGAGTCTAGCTTTCCGTATGTACGCTGTACAGCGTGATTCCGGTAGTGTGGTGTAAATTTTCTTTGAACATACAGATATGTGGAATGGTCAAATGATAATTATCTTAAAATTATTCGGTTATTTAGATAAAAACATTTTCTATGGTATCCAATTCAGAAAATGGTTTATTTAGACTCTTTAATTTTGTAAACCAAACTTATATAAGAGCCCCAAGTAATTAATAATGTAAAGAAGTGTTATTGCTAAAAGCTCATTTGATGGAATAGCTTTTCTAAAATCAAAATCTTGCGTTTTCAATACTATGTGCATTAATTTTAAGTAGCCAGTCGAATGTTGTCAAATTAGTTCTAATTAATTTTAATGTAGAAATAATCCATTAGCAAGGTTTTTTTTTTTTATTTTTTCATTATGTTTATTTTTAAAATATTATGGATAGCACTATAACCAGCATACACAAAATCTACATTAACATTAAGACTTTTCATGTTCATAATTTGTATTTAAATTTAAATTTGAAAAATGTAGTGCCACAAGTTATCTTAATATCCATATGGAACATAATCACAGAAGGAAATGGACCGGGGATCTATGCCAATACGTCTTTAAGGAAAAGTCATCATAATTTTCCTCTCTAGCTTTTACAGTAAATTAATATTTAAAGGAATTACGCTGTATTCCTCCATCTGTATCGGTATCCGAAAAAGAAGTACCCAAGAAAAAAAGTACCAGGTCAAAAAAGTATCAGATTGTATATATATTACGTAAGAAAAAAAAAATCAAAATAATTTTTAGTGAAGTATCTTTATATATTATTAAAACATGAAGCGATTTCTTATGACAGTTATATCTGAAGTTCTACTGGACCGATTTTCATGATTTTTTTTTCCTAACGAAAGTACTCGGTGTGCAGATAAGCCATCAAAAGAGAAAAGTCTAAAAATGAATTACTTAAATAGTTATTAAAAGAATTAAGTTTACCGTATTGTTACATAGCGGCATTCGTTGACGACGCCGGTATAACCCCACACTACTACGTCTACTGCAGTACTGTAGCTTTGTGAAAGAAAAAATTAATAAAACTACGCTGAAAATTAGAAAATTTAAGAATATTTAACCACCATATAAAACTATTTCTAATCTAACCATAACACTTTGGACAAAATAAACTTTTTAATGTAGCCTTTTAACGTTTGACATAGAACTAACAGAATGCATGCTGCAAATATCGTCAAAGATGATGTAAATAAACTGAATATTGTTTAAAACAGATGTTTTGGTCATAGTTATTATTATAATTATTATTATTTATTAGTAATATATCTAATTAATATATCTATTAATATATCTATGTAAGATAACTGAATTTTTAACTGAACGTTTAGTTAGTTCAGAGACATCGCATCTAATAGTTCTCAGTTTCAAGTTCAATTTAATATGGAGTTTTGGTAAGTTTGGATAGACTAACCATACACTTTGTTTGAACCTTTTCCGTTAATTCACTATCAATATTTTTTTCTGCCGCCTGTATAACCTCCACTATTTTTACGCCTGCTGCAGTAGTGCAGGCCTGTAGATTTGTCGTCGTCGGCGGCGATGTACATTTATTATATTTTACATTGTGGCATTGTACACTGTTTCATTATCGTCGTAGTGTCGTCGTCTGAACCGTCGTCGAAAAAACCAACAAGAAAAATACTATTTTCAATTTACACATTGTCTTTTCATATTCACTTTTCGCGTACAGCACAGAACAAATTACAAATTTTACTATATACATTGTTTCACTTTTGTTTAAAATGGAATATCAATTAATTCTCATAGTAGGCGATAGAAATTGTTTGTTTCGTTCCGTGTCATATTTAATATTCCACACTTAAGAAGAACATCGAAATATTCGATGTTGTTAACTTGGTGATAAATAATTGGGATATGTATAAAGAATTTGTCATAGGTGATCTTTCGTATAGATTACTTATTTATAATTATAATGGTTACGAACATTTGATGAACATAGATGGCGAGTATGCTGTACACGTCGAACTTGAATGCATTAGTTGACTTTATCCAAGTCATATATTTCGTGTGTATAGATCTATTGATCTTAGTGCATTTGTAGATTATGGTTCAGGTGCAATAATGTGTAATTTATTTTTTTCTGGCCATGGTGACACAGGACATTATAGTGTTTTAGATTTTAGTAATAATATGAATATTCAAAATCTACCGAAAGAAATAAATGCTAACACTAATAGTAAGCGTAAAACTCATTCTTTAACTGGAAGACGTGAAAGAAAAAAAATCGTAAAGAAAACCAGAATCAGAGAGTATTATTTTATAAATGCGCTTTATCGCATAATACACTTCAAGTTTCTCCCTATAATTTGGGTAATTTAAAATTTAAATGCGAGCATTGTCATTCGTTGCACTTTGATTGTGAAAAAAC